CTTACCTTTTTGTGACACTGGCAGAGTCAGTTTTGTTAACAGTAAAATTTAAAACAGATAACAAAGATAATTTATTAAATGTCTGGTACCACACACACACATTGGTATCAGCAATATAATTGTTAATTTTTGCCTTTCCATCGGGCACAAATGATAATCTTCCTGCCCGTCTAAGGACAAATATTATATTTTTTCCTACGATAAGACAAAAATCAGAATCTTTTTGTGTATTAAGAGACATGTTATCCTAAAAAAAAAAAAGTTAAGATCCCTTTACACGGCCTTAGGCGTATCGGGCATATGAGAAGAGAACCCCATATTTTTACAGACCATCAGCACTCGGTGGGTAATGTGGTCAGCATTACGCCGGCTGTCTTTACTTTCCCAGGACAGCCCATCCTGGTACCCATTTTAGGCTGGGTCGACCTGCGACGGCCCGTACCATGATAAAAATACACGCAGCCAGCAGTGGGTTTCGATTGCGGTACGCTGGATCACGAGTCGGACTCACAATGCCTAAGCCACGGACGCCGCATGTTATCCTAAACTTTTAGTAAATCAGTTTTATTTCATACTGTACATAAATCACTATATATTTATGTGTGCTTTTCACAACCTTCATGCACATTGGGCATAAAGGGCTAGATCTATATTTTATAGACCAATCGGCACCAAGCAGGTGATGTAGTCAACATCCAGCTGGCTGCCTTTTCTTCCCAGGACTTTATCTGGTGCCGTTTAAGGCTGGGTGGACCTACGAACCAAAGATATTTTTTTGAAATATGTCCTGCTCTGTCAGAACCTGAATCCATGACCTTCCCATCCACAGATGAGCTTCTAGCCGCTACATCACAGCAGCTTCCCATTATACCTTTACTTTCCAATATTCTTTGCAGTCTAAAATATACAATCATTCTGGCCTCTAAGTTTTTCATTCACTGCTGAATTCACCAACACATGCAGTAATTCTGGCATTATGATTAAAATTTTCTGCTGAATTCATTTCTCACAACCAAACATTAGTAAAACAAAATAACTATTTATTTACACAAATGCAAGCAATTCCACTCCTAAATGAGCAACACATTAAATCTTCTGACAGTGTGTTAACACTTTCTGAGTTCATAACTCACAAATGAACATTCTCTGAGTTCATAACTCACAAATGAACATTCTCTGAGTTCCCAGCTCACAAGTTTATCTCTGGACTGGTCAAGGATGTAGGGCTGTGGCTTTCGTCAGTGAATGTAAACTTGATCTGGCTGCCACTGTCCGGTGATGTGTTAATGCTAGAGTTGAAGGAGCCCAAACTATGGCAGCCCATTTTACGTGTTTTGTGAACATACCTTTCCTGCATCTTCTCAGGAGGTCCATCAGATTCCACAGGCTCAAAGTAGATTGTGGGGATCTGTAAAATAATGTGCTTACATTTATTTATAACTCTGTTATATAGCTTAGGCACACAGATTTAGCTAATCAAATAATGTGGCAACTATTTGCCCTGTTGACACACAGGCAGATACCCCGGAGTACTAAAGAGAATCTGATCCTAACAATTTTTTTAGCCAACACTATGCTGTCAGTGCCAGATGTGGACAATTACATCCTCCAATGAACTTAAAATTGTGACAACTGGGATGAAATGCCTTAAAAGAGCTGCAGGAGTTTCAAGGAAAGACACAATACAAAATCACAAAATCAGATGAATGCTAGGAATAAAGCCAGTCATACAGGTCATCAAAGAACAACAAATGAAGTGGTTTGGACACCTAACAAGAATGCCCTGGTACTATCTGCCACAGCGAGCCACAGTAAAACGTTACAACGGGTATAGAGCGAGTGAGAGACCTAGGAAAATATGGAGTGATGGCATTAAGAACAGCCTTACAGAAAATGAACATCAGTCTCAATAGTGCTCTTGACAGAGCCCATCAACGAATGTTACATTTTCCCTCCAACACTTCGATGAGGTTCAAGGTGGAAAAGAAAAAGAAGAAGACACAGATTGAGGTGAGATGGGTAAACTGACCTGATCTGTGACTCTAGTGATCATGTGAGGTGGCAAAAAATGACATTCTATTCTTACCTGTATGATATGTGATAATGATGAATTTTAGTGAAATGCTCCAACTAAACAGAAATAATCAGCAGGAACCTTTGAAGCTGTACGATATTATATATAACAAACAGACAAGCACTGATCAACACTCGCAGAAAGAAGTTGAAAGATAAAAGGACACACTAGACAACATAACATGCATAACTGGTACTCATAGAAAAAAGCTGAAAGGTAGAAGGACATACCAGACAACATCTATCTTTCTACTTTTGTTTTCACTGATTACTAATCACAATCCATTAAGAAGAAGTAGACAATAAAGTATGCTAATGCTGATAAGGCCAGTGATAACTGATTAAATACTTATTTATCTTTATCCCTAAATGCTGAGTGTCACCCTGTCTCTTAAAGTTCTAATCAAACTTCTTCTTAAAGACCATGCTGTGTGGCATTGGTAGTCCTTTCTATTCACAACCTTCTTTCTCCTGGACTTTCAATCAACTCTGGCACAGATGATCCTCAATGCCATGATGTCAAACTGTCCAGCATCGTTTCTCTCAGTCTTCCTCTGCCTCTCCTCCCCTCCAACTTTCTTACTGGCATGATCTACTGCAGTTTTCTCCTTTTCATCAAACGACCAAAGAATGTAGATTGTCTCTTTTTGATGTTGGCAATCAGGTCTCTCCGTGAGTCAGTTTCTGGCACCTTTCTGAATAACGGCCCCAAATTATCTAGGTCAAAAACCTACCTTTACAGGCTTCAATAGTTGCTTCCGTTTGAGGTGAATCCAAAACCCTTAAATTGTTTGTGTGTTAGGGTTAGCTAAACCTAACCCTTAACCTAACACTGCCATGAGAATAAGCCACAACAGTCCAACCACAAAAGTAAAGACATCGACCAATTACAACAAGTACATTCTACTGTGTTTCATATTAATCTGTGTAGCAAACCATTGCAACCACTGTAGTTTATTATTCAGTAATAGATATAAGTCGGCAGGTCTAACATCTACAGCTGCCAGTTTATCAATAGGTAGAACATTATTGCTTATCTGTATCGGAGCTGATGGTCTGCCAGCCATGTTTGCCAGAAATAAACTCATCCTAATTTTACACGTCATTGAGGCCCTGCAAGGGTTGGATTTTGAGCTAGATAATTTGGGGTCGTTTTTTGTAGGAGTGCCCAGTGTCTTTCTTCATTACTCTTGTTATCTGTCCAGGATTTTCTCATCATTCGTCTATAAAACCACGTCTCCCAAGCTTGAAAATAAGTTTGCATTAATTTACCAACTGTCCATGATTCTCTCCCATATATCAAAACATGATTTATAAAGCTTTTAAGAATTCCCTTTCTCATCTCAATTGACAAAGAAAGATTCCAAGAAATATTCTTTATTTTGTAAAATGCTGCCTTTGCATAGGCTGTTCTACATTCAACTTCTTTTATACATCTTCCATCTGATGTTATCAGTGTACCCAAGTACTTAAACATATTAAACATGATGTGTAAAATAAAACAACATATGACTTTCCCTACACACTGTAGGAGCCTGTTCTTGTTAGTCATCCAGGTGAAGATTTGAATTTTGGTTTCTTGTGGGAAGTTGGATATACCAAGGCAAGATTTATTTACTTATTCATTTACTGACCTCTTGTGCCATTGTGTGTCACAAAGAGCTTCCAGTCTTTTTCTCCATTCAATTCTTCTTCTTCATGTTCACCGGCTGTAAACCCCAACAAACAAGTTCTGGGCTTGAGTCTTTTGTTCCAGAACCTGAGTACAATCTGTTTTACAGATCTGACTTATTTGTTTGTAAATTGTTAGTTCAATGCCTCTCAGACAGATGCACTCTGACTTCAAAGGAAGCTCCCAGGCAGTCGACTCTTACGACATGCTAGCTGGGGAGGCAGTTGGTCTATTCTTATTTTGCCTACACTGGGGCTCCAAAACCCATACAGGCAAGACATTCCAATCTATCATGTACAATCAGTTCAATATCATTGATGGAATTCAGTCAAGTAGCTTTGGCTTCAATCATCATTGTTTACTTTGAGGTTTCTCTTAGACGTCGTTTCCTCAACCCCTCTATTTCCCATTGCAGTGCCTGTCTGGTAATTCTCTGTTAATCTCTTTAAAAAATTTGTCCCAATATAGCACCATCTTCTTTGTCTTAAAATGAGTGATTGCCCAGACAATTCTTATATTTCTTCACTCCTCTTGAATTCATTTCATTTTACAATTTATATCCAACATTTTCCTAAGGATTATGTTTTAAATGCATTTAACTTTCGTTCCATATCTTTAGTTTTCTTTGACGTTCGCTGGCATATGTTAAAACTGAAATGACATTAGAAATAAAAATACATAACTTGTTTCTAAAACTATATAATTTAGAATTCTATATTTTGTTTAAGTTTTTAAATGCTGCTCATGCTGGCCAGTTAGTCTTTCCTCTTGAGCCCAAGGCGGTGTATAGGGCAGAGGTCATAGCTCTTTATGTCTCCCGGTTTGTTGCCACCTGATTTAGGTATTGGATATTCATTAGGCCCATAGTTGAACCTTCCCTGATGATGGTTCTACACAGCGTCTCTCTTGGTCTTTCCCGTTTTCTTTTCCCTTCCAGTGTCCACATGAGGGCTTGATGGGGAAGTCTTGCCAGTGTGTATCATAATATCTTTCTTTGTGTTTCCTTGACTCTCAAGATTACAACCTAATTGGTAACATGATCAGTTATTTTCACAGCAAAATGCTTTGATAATAGCGCAATAAAAAAAGTCATTTGTGGAAAAACCTTAAAATAAAAAAAATAAAAACTTACTGTTTTGTTGGCTACACATTAGTTCTTATAAAGGAAAGTTATCATTTGTATTTTCAAATTTTTTTTTCTAAATGTACAAATCACACTTTCACAGGTCACCAGGAATGAATGCCCTCCTTCAACCACTATTCATCCCTACATAAAAACAAACCTCAGCTGGGGCAGAAACTGTAGAATCCTGGGATATTTTTGGTTTGAGAATTCTGCTATCTCGGTTCAGAGAGTATGTATGGCTGTTGCTCACTCTTGTATTATGACCAAAGTATTTTCTGTCAGTAATTAATGGTGAAGCATGTGGTGACAGAGAGCTTGGTCGGATCACATATCTGTAATGAAGATAAATTAGAATGTACACTTAAAATACATTTGACAATCTATACTCCTACATTCGTATATAAGTGGTATATAAACTATGCAATATTCAATAACCAAACATAACTGATAGGCATAAATATCCATCACTTAAATAGAAAATAAATGTATCCCTATTGTAACCAAAATGGGTTGAAAAGGATAATAATAATTAAATTAATACTAATAATAAAAATAACGTGATGAAAGTAATAATTAGAGAGTGTGATAATTAACAATTGTCAGAGACCTTTGTGGGTTGGGAGAAAAGGGAAGGGGGGTGAGAATAGACCACAGCTTCTTATCAAACACACCCTGAAAGGTGCCCAATTAAGGCTTTTCCAAAAACTGTAAACCACACTACAGTGTGCTAACCTCACTTTTAAGGGCATTGAAAATGTCAGACAGAGTAGTAGTGGTTAGAACAGAGTGTGAATATAAAATCTGTCTATGACATGAAAAAATTTTAAAAATTTAAAAATAGTGTGAATATAAAGCCCGAGACAGGGAAATAGAAAAGAATGTAACAAGAATCACATGCCAGGGAGTGAAAGTAATACAGTGGTACTTTGGCATATATTCGCATTGTATACATTAAACTTGGGAAACGTCCTGTTTAGTTGGGGAAAACTTCTGCTTGGTATATGACCTTTTTTGCTTGAACTTGTATGATTCAAAATTATTCACAACACTGTGAATTGTCTTTTTTTTTTTTAACCTCTCTTTAAAGAAAGCCAGGGATAGATGTCAATGTATTCACAGAAAAGTACCACTCCAACAAAACCCAATCACGCCATAAAAGCATTGTCTGGAAAGATCAGACAATGTCACACTTCCAAAACATCCTGATGAGAAGGCAGAAGCAGACTTTTTTTTTTTGGGGGGGGGGGGGGGGGGGGGGGGACAATTTTTGTTAGTGAAAGTCAAACCTATAAGCCTCAACAGTTCCAATTAGTGAAAAGAGACAGGGAAAAAAAAAAGAGGGAAACAATTTTTTTTTTTAGATTTCTCAAGTTTTTTTTTTAAAGGGAATTCTCCTTCTAAAAAATAACATCTCCTCCTTCCTTCTCAGTACTATTTTAGAAGGCATTCAACACATCTCAGGAATGTAGACTGAGGTTAAATTTTCACTTACTTCACCTAAATGTTGTTGAATATATGTATTTTAGTATGAGCTGAGCTTAGTCTCAAGGAACCAACATCACAGCACTCTGGTCATACACATAAGTGCTCCATCCCCATCTTCAGCAACCAGAAAAGAGTTCCAGCTCTGATGATACCAGTAGCAGTGAGACTGTATGTCCAACTTGCATTTCCTCTGAGCGTGGAGTGTTGGCCAGATCCCTTATTCACTCTCTGCTGCACCAATCTCTTCAGACCATGATAATTTAATTTTTGGCTCTGCACTGATAATGTCTAGCTTGTCATTCATCAGTTTACCAATAAGTGGTGAAGAAACAGCCACTATATCTGCCTGTTTATTTGCCAACACACCTGCATCCCCTGGAGAAAATAGCCAAAGGATGCTAACTACCCTAAACCTCTAAAAGGATTTGTGCCATTCTGCATGGAGCATACCTTTTTTCACTTTCTCAGCGCGTGCTTTGCGAGTCAGTTACAATCCCAACATGTATGTGCAGCTGATTCTCAAGTGAATAGAAGGTTGCCGTGACCATCACTTCTACCTCCTTTCTCAAACTAGATGTTGTGATATCACATGCCAGGTTTTGTTGCATTAAGGGTCGTCCATTCTCTTTTTGCCTTGAACCCCCATGCACTTACTTTGCCTCAACACAGAACCATTAGTACAGATAACCTCATCAGCAGTGTGGGAATTGTCCTGAATCAGTTGTTGAATTTCTGATTCTGTGGATTAAATGGGAGTAGGCAATAATAACGTCCAACTCTTTTTGATGCAACATCAGGAAGTGTTACCTTAAATTGTTGTTGGCACTTTTTGTCTTTCCTGATTATAATTGTCCATTGTGCGAGAGGGAGGTGTTTTATAAGGCTATGAAACTTGGAGCACAACTAAAAGAGATAAATCCTTAGTACAGGTTTTCGAAACAGACTTACGACGAACCTTTGGACCCATCAAAGATGCAAACAGCAGGGAATGGAGAGTGAGAAGCAATAACAAAATTCGTAATCTGTTTAAATCACCACTGATCACTGACATTATGAGAGCTAATAGACTGAAATTGTTGGGGCATATTGAAAGAATGTCAGATGACAAAGAAGTAAAAACTGTATACACAAGGGAGATGAATGGTCATAGACCACGAGGCAGACCAAGAAGACGATGGAGAGATAATGTCCAGACAGACCTACAAACACTTGGTGTCACCAACTGGAAAGAGAAGGCCAACCAGAGAGATGAATAGAGGTGGGTGATATTTGCAGCAATGAACCTCAAGGGCTTGGGATGCTAAAGAAGAAGAATAGAGGGAGGCAAGGAAATCACAGCCTGTGGCAAATGGCAAAGTCCAGGGATGAGTTTTATCACACAAAGCCTGGGCAGTATCGCTGAGACCATGTATTCCCCAAATAGCATGATCCCTCTCTTGGTTTACTGTTTAGTTCCAAAAGAAACCTAACACCAATATATATGAAACACAGCATGCTGCAGAAGCTATTTGATCAGAACTATGGTACAATAAAGTTCATACTAGAGACAACACTGAAGATATAGATAATCTATTTAAAGTGAACGAAAGAGGAAGAAAAAGAAGAAGAAGAAGAAGAGCAGTACTCTGTCTGTCATAGTTTCCCTCCTAGACCAGCTGGCAACCAAGACTTAACCCTTTCAGTGCCAAATGGTTTCATGATAGAAACTTAAGAAGAGTGGTGACAACCATAAAAAGTCTTGAATGCCTCACTGTCAAAGAAACAATATAAAATGTGGTTGCTATTACTCGGTAGCCAGATTTTTTTTTAAATCCATTCTGAGCGCACGGGATATGTACAAGAACACCCTATGTGACTACTGGGTGTCAGGAGGGAGATCCATATACAACATGCATTACTTGAAAATAAAAAAGTTAATGGTCTATTGACAGCTAAAGTAGCACCCATCTGGAATGGACTTGTTGACCTAGTTCAGTTGCTGGCAAACTCATTAGTTAAAAGAACTAAAAATCAGCAGCAGGATGATTACAATTTTGTTGAGAGCCAAATTTCTGGTCAAGAACCTGAAGAACCAGGTTTTTTGGAAGTCAAAACCAATTTGTGGCTGACTGCCCAAGCTACACTCAGGTCGCCAAAGAGCTGCATGCGGCTCGCGAATGGCGAATTGCCAACCACTGACTTAGTGACTTACATAACATCTCCCAGCTCAAGTTTGAGGTCATAACTTGGGTTTATAATCACATAGGAAATAGTTGATCTTTTATCACTGCCTTCATCTGCAAAGAAAAACAATTTTCAAATTAAGCTGACATCTTTGCTGCTGCTGCATGTATCTCATCTAAATAATTGGAAGAAGAAAAAAAATAATGCAACAGCCATAATGAACCTTGCAAACGAAAGGACTTCCTGTTGTTAATCCTAATTGTTCAAAATCTTGTTTATAAACGTTCGTTTTCCCCACAAACGGAACAAAATTAGAGTGTCTCTATCATATGCCAATATACTGGCAATTCGTAGGTTAAGGATACATTTATTCACCAGTATACGTCTTTAAGAGTTATAAACTAATTAGCCCTCAATATGTGATGTGATCAATATTCTGCCGATTGCCCCAACTTCTGTGAACCTTTTCCTGATACCAGTTTTTGACTGGGTTGAGCTAGGAGTGCAGATCAATTTTAAAAAATCTATCTTGGTGAGGATTTGAATTGAACATATGACCGCTTGAGTAGAAGGCAAGTGTGTTAGTCACTATCAGTTACAATTTACTTTATGGATCCATGGATGATCTACATAAATCAGAACCTTCCTAATAATGGCATTTGACTGTCAAGATTGGATAACTCTAAAACATTGAGATAACTCTGTTGACTCACTGTATTCTGTCTGTGGAAGTCCTTGTGTCTGCATTCTACACTTTACCATCTGAATAATTTCTTGTCTTTCAGGCGTCAAATTTCTGTTTTCTTTCATGTCATCATGTGGTGCCATTGACATCTGAAAATAGTGAGCAAAGTACCATTATATAAACATTTTACGATTGGCTTAACCCCCATACAAAAAAAAAATAGAAAATTCAAATTTAACTTATCAGAGAATACACTTTTATTGTTTATACTTTGTTTATACTTTCATTTCATACAAAATAATTGGTAAATGTAAAAATAAATTTGTCAGAATCAGCAAAATCATTTAAAGATCTGCCCGAAAATGTAATTCATGAGAAACACAGCAAGTTGTGATTAGTGATTAGTGATTAGTGATTAGTGATTAGTGATTTGTGATTAGTGATTAGTGATTAGTGATTAGAAAGGATTATCATCACAGCACATCAGTTAGATCCATAGGTGCTCCTATCTTTTCCTCATAAGCTTCCCAAGTGTAAAACGACTGATGGCGAATGTTTTGTGTTGGTTAATGAAACGTCTTGTCCCCTTAGTGAAATGTTCATTTCTTGCAGCTCCAGGCTACACCCCCATGTCCATCAGTCGAGACAGGGATACAGAGTCATGTCCTTTGGCATGCTCCTCGGTACGGTAAGTGCAGCGCATGGCATTGATAACATCACTGCTGTCCAGTACTGGACCAGCCATAGCAACCGCAGAGTCAGCAAGATAGTCTGCATGTTTGTTCCCTTGAACACCCAGATGACTGGGCACAAAGATGAAAGTGGGGACTTATACAGCTATAAATACTGTATATTCTGAATACTGAATATGTTAGTAGCAATCCAGTTTCGTCCTTTTTAGGATGAAATTTTTTTTAATTTGAAGCCCCACCCTGGCTTTTGCCAGGGGCCACAATATAGGCAGGCCATAGACATGGCCAATTGTCTGAACGCGGTTTCTGGGACCTTTCCACGGCGATCCTCATCCACATGGTGGCACTTTGTATCATCGGGTGTTTATCGCTTGTGTAATGTCCTGGTGGGGTAGAAAGTCAGTCAGTCGTATACTGAATATCTGTATACTGTCTATTCTGTATACTGTATATTCTGTATACTGTACATTCTGTATACTGTATATTCTGTATACTGTATATTCTGTATACTGTATATTCTGTATACTGTACATTCTGTATACTGAATATCTGTATACTGTATATTCTGTATACTGTACATTCTGTATACTGTATATTCTGTATACTGTATATTCTGTATACTGTATATTCTGTATATTCTGATGCACCAGGATCAAGACTGACACTGGTCAACACCTGCCTACTCTTCTCCTGCTATCCTGGAACAGCTTTAGGGGCCTGGCCAATGGAGACAGACTGGAACTTCTTTAGAAGCTGGAATGCATCTGTCTGAGGGGTGAGGAATTAACAGTCTGCATACAAACATGCCAGGGGAAAAAAATCACATGCTTCTTCTTTATCAAACTAACCGGCTGTAAACTACTCTCACCTCTCAGGCAGATGCGTTCCATCTTCGAAAAAAGCACTGCTAAGCAGTTAACTTTAACTCTTTGAATCCCAAGAAATGCATCATACGTTCATAGGTTCCTACCTAGAAGCCCAATAAACGCATGATGAGCTGATTTTATTACTTTCTTTACTACCCCCTGGGCCTGTGATGCGAAACTCCCTGGGACTCAAAGAGTTAATGACATGCTTGTTAAGGCAGCACTGGATATAATATTTTCCACCAAAATGAGGCTCCGGAACCCACAACGGAATTTTAAAACATGTGATACATGAAGTAATAACATGTGATACATGAAGTAATAACATGTGATACATGAAGTAATAACATGTGATACATGAAGTAATAACATGTGATACATGAAGTAATAACATGTGATACATGAAGTAATAACATGTGATACATGAAGTAATAACATGTGATACATGAAGTAATAACATGTGATACATGAAGTAATAACATGTGATACATGAAGTAATAACATGTGATACATGAAGTAATAACATGTGATACATGAAGTAATAACATGTGATACATGAAGTAATAACATGTGATACATGAAGTAATAACATGTGAGACTTGCAACATTTCTATAATACGGCAGACATGTTTTTGTGTGTTTTGATAGCACTAAATAAAATGTCAATCAACAGAGCTGTTGCACAAATAAACTGCTTAAATAAAATAAGCTGTCTGATATCAGCCTTAATTAATTTTACAAGCTTAAAGGTTAGAATAGAGAGGATTGACTTCTTTTCAATGGGTTTTAACCCATATGGCTTGGTGTCTCTCTGCAGAACAGCTAGCCTTCTACTGAGAGCACTGCACAAAGTATGCACACTGTAGCTCCAGAGATGATCTCAAGGGGGTCTTTGCGAACAGTGCACTCATGGCCCAGACAACACAGCAGTGAAACAAACCCAGGATCTTGAGAGCTTGATGCACATGGCTTGAACATTCGGCCCCAGTGACACCTCCCACCCCCACCCGTTAAAAAAAATCTGCTTGATATCGGTCTTCATTATTCTATATGAATTGTCTTATGTAATCTTAAATATTTTTTTAAATGAAATCAAGACATTCTAGATGGCTGTAATTTGTGTAACCCTCTCCCTAAGCTGCATAACACTTATTCTGTCATACTTCATCATCTGCGTTCATCTGAAGTAGAAAGGCCAGACACGGCATTTTGTTTGTAACATTCAGAGAAAGGCCAGACACGGCATTTTGTTTGTAACATTCAGAGAAAGGCCAGACACGGCATTTTGTTTGTAACATTCAGAGAAAGGCCAGACACGGCATTTTGTTTGTAACATTCAGAGAAAGGCCAGACACGGCATTTTGTTTGTAACATTCAGAGAAAGGCCAGACATGGCATTTTGTTTGTAACATTCAGAGAAAGGCCAGACATGGTATTTTTGGGGGGAACTGAAGAGTTCAAAGAGAAAGCCTTCAGAATCATGTAATCTCACATCTCACAATAAACAGGTGAACATATTATTACAACAATCTTGTGTTATATCATTACCTTAGGTTCTCATGATTCTTCAGACACTAAACTGTCATGTTCAATTTTAATATTTTTTTTTCAGCCACCTTTCTTTTAAATTCACAAAGTACATACATTTTTAAATAATTCAAATGATTGAAATAAAATGTTATAAAAGAATATTAAGAAAAGCATGCAGGAAAATGTTAGAATTTCAGTAGTTAAAGTAAAACAGGAAGCATTTATATATATGTGACAAGATATGCTATGATGTTGGTTCTGAATTCAGTAAGCAATTCTTTTTATAGCTCTTTGGAATTTTTTTCAGTATGTTAGTTGACAGATTATCCTCATTGTACATCAAATGATTCAGTCCATAAGTGTTTGAATCCCTTCCTTAGTCAATCCTGCACCCAATGATGGCTGACAACAACACTTCTGTGATTTCTTGTATATTGATCTTTTCTGGTCACACCCCTTTCAGCATGCTGTTCTTGCATGCTGTTCATTGTTGCAAATTCACAGTCATCACTTAGTTCTCGTAAACGTCTCACTTCTCATAGAGCATTCAGAATTATGCCTGGTCAATGGCATAATTCTCTTCCTCTCATATGCCCATCCTTGCTTGATCCTCTTCTGATTCTTCGTTTACACATTCTTACACATGTTACTTCATCTAACTTTGTGTTTTTTTATCTGTATTCATTCATAAATGTTTTTCACAATGTCTCCCGTGTCCAGCAGGAGTGTTCCCATAGCTATCGCTTTTGTAGCCAGAAAATCCACTTTTTCATTCCTTCACATTTTTGCATGTTTCAGGCAGTATATCCACGTGATTCCCTGCGATGTTGATGTACTGATTCTTGGTACCAACTCATTCTACATTTGTCCATTTTGAACATTCTGCAGTACTGACAGATAATCAGACACAATAATTCCTCTGGTAACTCTATTGTCCGCTATCCACATCAGAGCTGTAGTGACTGTCTCCACCTCCATCCTCATGCTTGAAAATGTAAATAAAAAAAAGGCTCCATTTTGTTCTACTACGATCTTTCTCTTCGTTCTAGCTGAAAATCCACAGCCAGATCTTACACCCAGATGAACAGAACCATCAGTGTACACCATTGAACCCTCTAGACCAGCATTTTCATCTGTCAGTTGTTGTATTCATAATCTATTTAAATCACCATTGATCACTGGCATCATGAGAGCTAATAGACTGAAATGATTTGGGCATATTGAGAGAATGTCAGATAAGTGAAAACTGTAAACACAAGGGAGATGAATGGTCTTAGACTACGAGGCAGACCAAGAAGAGGATGGAGAGTTAATGTCCCGACAGACCTGCAAACATTTGGTGTCACCAATTGGAAAGAGAAGGCCAACCAGAGAGATGAATGGAGGCCGGTGATATCTGCAGCAATGAACCTCAAGGGCTGGGAATGCTGAAGAAGAAATTTTTGTACTTCTAATTCAGCCATGTTACATCATTCTCTACATTAATTTCCTAACGTGATAATGACCTGATGGAAACTGCTGTTGCAGGTGTTCATGCTGACCAATTCCTGGCCCCCTGTGTATTTGCTTAACTGAGGCTGCTTTCCCGATGTATCTTCAGCTGGTGCCATCCATGACTTTCTACTTTTCAACTGGAATGCTTGCAAACCTTTCACCTTTTTAGTGTATTGCTATTTTATAGCGATTATTAGCCACCATTTTTTAAGAGCAGTGATAATAGTTGCATGGGACTGCCCATCATGCTGTGATAACAGTGATAACATAGCAGAAGAGATAACTAGTATTCACTTTAGTACATGATGAGCAGTAACATCCTTCTTTGAGTGTAATAAGTTTACAACAGCCACAAATTTTAAGTGTAGTGATAATTTAATAAGAACTGTAGATGCAGTTGTTGATTGTAATAATAATAATAAGTATATAATATTTAGCAGCCACAGTTAAATTTAAAAAATAAAAAACATACAGATTAGTAACTATAGATGTTTAGCACATTAATCAGTTAAATTAGTAACAATGTAAGGGAAAAAAAACACATCATATTTTTGGGAAAGTGAAAACTTTGAAAAATACAAAATGGAAGATGCCTTAAAGTATTGTGCTAAGATCATGTTAATATTAAATAAGCAGGAATAAAGAGATCTTCCCAAAATAGAAACTGCTTATTACTCACTGACGGACAGGGTGAACATTTCCTACCACGAGACTTAAACGAGCACTGGAAAGAGTTATGCAATGATAATCACAAAAATGTTTAATTAAAACATCATTATGGTATTCTAACCACAGAGGATAATATTTTAAACATGTTTCCTGAAAATGCCATACACAAATATTGTATAAAACATACTCTTTTTAGGTTTGTCTCCCCCCTCCCCCCTAGTTAACTCAGTGAAGTATGTGGGACAGGGGGGTGTAACTCAGTGAAGTATGTGGGACAGGGGGTGTAACTCAGTGAAGTATTTGGGACAGGGGGTGTTACAATCTTCTGTGTACTCCTCTTTCAAATGTGCCGTATAAGTTGATTTCATTTCTTCAAGGTCATCTTGAGGTCATCATTTGTAGTTCTTCCCCTTGTTCTGTGTTAACTATTCTTCTTCAACATAGCTCTTTATAGTAATTGGTTAGTAGATTCCAGAGTATTCTTGTCTGACGGTCAAACCATTTCACCTATTATTCTTTAACCTATATCACATGCAAAATAATCAACTTTTCCTCTACCTCCTAATCTCATTCACAGGGGCATCATAGCAGCTAAGGTGTTCTGGTTTATCTATAACAATGCAGATCATCATCATGTAGCGGGTCTTCGCAGAATGTTGCTCTCATCACAGACTGCCTGAAAGAAACCAGGTCTCTCGCCAGCTTTCCCGCCTTGTGCACTTTTATACTGAAAGAGTCATTTATATCCTGCACCCATCTTTGTGTGGGTCAGTCCCCGCCCCTCTTTCCAATCCAAACATGTTTGGAAATTTTACTTACTCATTATTTAATTTCAACAGTCTAAGATTTTTTTTTGTCTGCCCCTGATCTAATTTCCTTCAATTTTTTGAATTATAATTTTATACTCCAATATTCAATTCAAAGCTTTCAACTGTTGTCTACATCAACCAGGTAACCCCTCCATAATGAAGGCTGGCTGCAGTGTATTTACACCTAGATGTAAACTCTCTCTCAGGCTGCTGTTTGTCCATCTCTTTATGTTTTCCTCCCACATGTATCATTGTCTGTTCCTTTCTTGCTTGCCTTCATCTTTCACCTCTAGTATGGTATTATAAGATTGTAATGACACATAATGTGGCCAAAATATTACACTTGTCTCATTTTTATTTCCATAAGCAAGTCTCTTTTCCTTCACTTTCTTTTTCTCTGAACCTCCGTAGTGAATAGTTTTTGTCCCTATGAAATATTACTTATTCTTTGAATAGTTTTTTCCTGATGAAATATTACTTATTCTTTGAATAGTTTTTGTCCCTATGAAATATGACCTATTCTTCTATATAAGCTTCTGCATACTTATTTGTAAGCATTTATTTGAGAAGACTATTTTGTCTCTGTTAAGATAAATGACCACAGATGCACAGCACAATGTTTACAACATATATTACCAATCACAGGAAAGACTATAATAGTATTTAGCAGATAACTGCCTTACACAAAGGGCTTCTGTTCCCGAATGGTACTGTGTGCGGTAAATACCAATAGGAATGTCACAGGAAGTGGAGCACAACTTCTGATACAAACGGCCGTAAGTTCTGATCCACAGGTCTTCTTTGGTTATTCTGATCTGTAGGAGATATTATTTTTTAAATTCAGGGAGTTATTTGTCGTATTCAGAATATATTTATTATAATTATATAGAACTTACTAAAAATCCGCTTATAGAACATGTAATGCTCATATAATCTGTAAAGATATTTTTTCTTCAAAAGGTAAAATTTTGGATTATCAATACAATGATGTTCAACAACTTTACAAAAAGCATAAAGTTATGAAAATTAAGAAAAAATCATTATGTACTATCTGACTTAAACATAGCCAAGAAGGTATGACAAAGATAATTGTTTTCAAAAATATCAGTATTAATAACATTAACAAAAGAAAGGATTATACAATGTACAAAATAGCAAAAAAGCATCCAATGAACATACAATAAACCCTATATATATATATGTATTTTCACATTGAAAGAAAAAAATATTTTTGTGTGAAAATTACTACTACTGCTACCGGTTTTACTACTACTGCTGATGCTTTTTCATCTGATTTTATTAAAACAAAACACAATGGCTGATTGTACAAAAAGGTTGAAGAAAAATAGTGACATGCAATACAAGTTGCAGATGAACCCTTTTAAACAAAAAAGAAACCATGAACCTGCTTTTCCATCATTGCCACATTCCTGTAAAGGCCCTGAAATCAGCCTGATCTGTTTCTAAGAAGTGTAGTTTGATGTTAGTGGTTCTGTTCATGCCTACTCAGTATTTAATAGGCCTAGATATGAATATATTCACTAAAAATAGTATTTGGGGTGGGGTTGGTGGGATGTTTTATGAACCAAATGGCTTTGTAAAAGCCATGTTGAAATCAACAATTCCCCTAGCCTCAGTGTTAAAGGTCACAGGTTCATGGCATAAGTCCTCCAATACATGTTTGTTTAGGCCTTTATGTTTAGGAACATTAAAAATTTATGTTTATTGACTACTTACTTTATATATCTCTATATTTTTTGGTGTTACCAAAAATGTAAATTAAAAATTATTTGTTTTTTTATTTATTAATGACCTGTGTTAATTTTTTCCATTAATTTCTTTGGGGAACTTCTGGTTTCCTGTGGGTTCTGACATATCTTTTTAAAGGGTTTCCAGGGTGAAAGGGCTGAGGGTTTGTCTTCTAGTGCAAAAGAAAACAGCCATTGTTTGCGTTCATTGATGGTGTTATTTCATATCAAACAATGGTCAATCTTTGGTGATAGTTGTGTCTGTAGCATTTTGTCTCCATTGCTTGAAGTTTATTTTCTAGTTTAGCATTTATTATTTATGTCTTCGTCTTTTCTCTACCTCTGGAATTTTATGTATCATAGGCTTATTAGTATGAAAATTTACAGTATTAACAGTCATGTATCTTGTCATAAATATAACATCAACACAGTACGTTTATCACATTCAAACACTTACAGATGATAGATGACCAGACCCTACTGACATGTCTATCCCAAGCAGAAGTCTCACAAAAGTAATTAGGTAATCTTTCACAAAAGCCTGAAATTGACACAAAAGTAATCCTATCAACAGATTGTATTTACTTAACTTTCTGTCCAAAGAAATGAAATATATGTGATCAACTATTTCTTGTGTGTGTATCAAACGGCATGTGTATTTTTGTTGTTGTTGTTGTTGTTGTTGTTATCTTCTTTATATTTGGTCTAGAAAACAACAAAACATCTGGTTACATGTTTTAGCATGCAACTGTCTTTGTTGCTTCTTTAAAAGTAATACAGTTATGCTTTTTTCATTTTGACCATCGCATACTTTAGGCATCTGCTGAAAGATTTTCTGAGACTGAAAGATTTTCTGAGATTGAAAGATTTTCTGAGATTGAAAGATGTTCTGAGATTGAAAGATTTTCTGAGATGAAAGATTTTCTGAGATTGAACGATGTTCTGATATTGAAAGATAGATTTTCTGAGATTGAAAGATTTAATACAAAATGCTGAAATTATTATTTTAACATGAAATAATTAAATTGGACAAAGAATATATTACAAGCTGGTTTATTAGGCTTCCAAAGTTTCCCAATTTTCAAGAATGGTAGTGGCAACTTCACTGTTATGACAAATCTGTTTTCAACTTTACATAAATAAGGCTAAACAGTGTTTCTGGCAGCAACATGTGGAGGAGAGTCAAGGATTGGTTCACAAACACTAAGGAAAATCAAGGCTTTTGAAATAAATGTTACAAATACATGTATCCTACATTTATATGCAATCTCATTTAACATATGTTTGCTGCAATGCCAATTAGGGAAATAAAGCAGAGAGAAAACTGTACTGTATAATTCTGCGGTGACAGTGTATGGTGGTGGCCCGACTTTGTGTGGCACAGCACCAGCTGGTCACATTTTACCGGTATCAGCGTTAGATTCCGTCTCAAAGAAGAACTGATGCATGACAAGCTAAATGTTGTCAAGGCCCTTCTCTTGGCAGCAAGTCAAGTGTGCTGAGGTACAACTGGATTATCACACTATGATGCACCAATGAGTGACCGGGCGATCTGGCAGATGCTCCAAACTCACACGAAAGGCAAAAGGGGCATACATTCAGATTGCTACAGGTACCACTGAAATTAGAAATCTCAAATGTACTTCTAAAAAATCTTAATCTGGACAGTAGACCAATAAGACAGATCCCATATACCCAGTTCAAAACCTCAAAATGGTTTATTCGGAAATTCACCCAGCCTCTAGGAAGTGGGTACCAGAGTTGACACTCTGGGGTAAATGGAGGAACATCGCTGTAGCTACTAAGTTACGTGCGGATGGTGACACAGACGGACAGTTTCTTATCAGCTGCCCGTACTGGTGGCAGAGCACTTATGGTTTATAACTGTGTGCAATGAGGCTGGTTCACATCTCCCAGCTTTACCTTTACCTTTTCCTCAAAATGGAGCCCCAGAACCCAGACAGAGCAGACCAAGTGTTAAGTTTGTTACAAAAAAGTATCTGCCTATTTTTGTTTGTTTTAGTATCCAGAAGCCATGAGTTGTTAACCCTTAGGCTCGGTATTATGGATATCACAACCTTTCGGCCTTGATTCCATTGTAAATACCGTAAATCTTGGAGAAATATGTATTTTCTACCCCCGGGAGTGAACCCGGACCACAAGGAGTTCGTCACCCGGTCTCCGCGCAATCCGGTTTAGCCAACTACGCTAGAGAGCCGGGCAAACCTATGTCTATACTTTAAAGATAACCCCAGTAATCTGTAAAATGCTTTTCCCTGCGCTTTACAGAACGGCAACCAAGCAGCAATAGGGCACCAGTGCAGCGATCAGCACGAGGTAAACCAAGCACCAGCAACAATCAGCTAAAACCCACAGATATCAGCACTAAGAGAACTGGACCAGACCTGACCCAAAAACCCAAGCACGACACCGGACTAAGGAAGCAAAGAACCAGAATATCAGGTGTGCCTACACACCACAAATAATAGAAAATCAAACAAGATAGCCAAGGAACCTTACTTCATATAGCAGGCCTCTGGGCAGCTGAAAAAGGATCGAATTAGGAATTTTTGTTGGACAACTGGAATTGGAAATCTGTAAAAGCTGTGAAATGCAAACTCTTGTATGACTTACTTGATATAATAATGCATCCAACATACTTGCACTGAAAACATTCCCAGCAGCAAATGGAAGGCGGAACATGTAGTAAATATTGGATCCACGTTCTCTTTCTTTCTGCAGATACAGACATTTCCCAATATAAAGACAACATAAAAACTGTTAAACATTGCCCACAAAAAGTAATTTACATGGAGACAGTCCAAACAGAAAATGTGCTTTTCAAACAATGCTTCAAATATGTAGTGCAACTGATTATTAAATTAGCTTGTCCACTCTGGGCTGTACCTAAAAGTTTACCATACCATCATGAGATTTTAAAAAATAAATCCTAATCTTGATGGTAGACCAACCAGGCAGATCCCAGAAACCTTGTTCAACCTCCTAAGAAGTTGTAATTAGGGCACCAGTAAAGACTACACCAGCCAGGTGTGATCTACAGCCCTGTCTGGGTAAGGACAAAGTATTGCAGAAAACTAGCTACTAGATGTGTCTGGGTGGGGACAAAGTAGTGCAAAAAACTAGCTACTAGATGTGTCTGGGTAAGGACAAAGTAGTGCAAAAAACTAGCTACTAGATGTGTCTGGGTAAGGACAAAGTATTGCAGAAAACTAGCTACTAGATGTGTCTGGGTAAGGACAAAGTATTGCAGAAAACTAGCTACTAGATGTGTCTGGGTAAGGACAAAGTATTGCAGAAAAACTAGCTACTAGATGTGTCTGGGTAAGGACAAAGTATTGCAGAAAAACTAGCTACTAGATGTGTCTGGGTAAGGACAAAGTATTGCAGAAAAACTAGCTACTAGATGTGTCTGGGTAAGGACAAATTAGTGCAGAAAACTAGCTACTAGACGTATCTGGGTAAGGACAAAGTATTGCAAAAAACTAGCTACTAGATGTGTCTGGGTGGGAACAAAGTAGTGCAAAAAACTAGCTAGTAGATGTGTCTGGGTAAGGACAAAGTAGTGCAAAAAACTAGCTACTAGATGTGTCTGGGTAAGGACAAAGTAGTGCAAAAAACTAGCTACTAGATGTGTCTGGGTAAGGACAAAGTAGTGCAAAAAAACTAGCTACTAGATGTGTCTGGGTAAGGACAAAGTAGTGCAAAAAAACTAGCTACTAGATGTGTCTGGGTAAGGACAAAGTAGTGCAAAAAACTAGCTATCAGATGTGTCCAAGTAAAGACAACAGCAATGTAGGGTGTTAGGTAAATCATCCTTTATTTGTCCTAAATTACAGCTCAACTATCATATATACACACACACACACACATACACACACACACACACATACACACACATACAATTCCCTGTGTGGATTAACAGGCCATTGTGTGGAAAACTAAAGTAGACCCACCACCTACTCAGAACAAGCATGTTTGATTGGTTTGATTTGATTCAAGAACCGACATCACAGCACTCGAGGCATTCCCATAAGCGCTCCATCCCCATCTTCAGCAGCCAGCAAAGAGTTCTGATACTTATGGTACCAGTAGCATTCTGATTAAATGTCCATCTTGCCTTTCCACTAAGCCTCGAGCATCTGCCAGAACCTCTCTTCAGTCCCAACTGCATCAATCTCACCACACTGTGGTGATCAATCTGCTTCTCCGAACTGTACTCCTACAAGGCACTAACCACGTCTGCCTTATCATGCATCAGTATTCTACCAAGCTGTGCAGAGCCAGCCAGTCTGTCCGTCTGTTCATTTCCCAACATACCGGCATAACCTGGTGAAAAAATCCAGACAATATTTCTCACATCGCATACACACCACTGGCGTGTCTCTGGTGCAACCCAGAATGACCCACATTGCTGCGTTCTGTATGCGCTCTAGTTTGTCCATCTGGCTCTTTGAGACGGTAGCATGTTTAAGAGTCTACTAATTAGGGGCTTTCTTCAAAGTTGGAGTACATCTGCCTGCTAGGCAAGAACTCAACAATCTGCAAACAAACTAGCTAAATCTGTAAAACAGATGTGCACACAACACTCAGGTTCTGGAACAAGACTAGAATTCAGGGGTGGACGAACAACTAGCACTTTCCACCAGATTTACAGCTGATAAACATGAAGAAGAAGAAGATAAATATACAGTAAGTTTTTACCTTCTCTTGTTTGGAAATGGACAAAGCATAGAGGTCATCTGGCCTGAACTGCATGAACCTCATGTTGGGAGCATGGGAGATCTCTGTGAGGATATTAGCTTTTGGAAACAGCCTGGGAACATATATTATTTTGTCATATTAGGAGACCTTGAAGTTAAAAACACCAGTTCCAGCAAATTCAACATTTTCATCATCATTATCAATTGCCTTGTTGACTGGCATGGGATATCAAGTCTCTCCACAACCTGCAACAGAATTCATTGGCTCGTGCTGTGACATACCATCTGTGCCCTGACAAAAGGCTGTTGAAAATCTCATGTTGTCTACCTTTGTCTCTCTTTCCACAGAATTTTTCTGTGATAACAATATCTTCCAATTTCCCTCTCCTTTTTTAAATTAAAAAAAAAAGATGTCTGTCTCCTCGTGACGTTTGTGAAAAGATTTAACAGGAATAATACTTTATGTAATAAATATTTATCAACTGATGTGAAAAATAATTTTCTGTGAAAAATGAATATATTAAGTCAATCTCTATGTATAAAAGTGACTGGTAGGCCCATCAAATGCTGAAAGTTGAATTAGAATTTACATAACAGCACTCAGGCACTCCAAGTCCATCTTCAGCAGCAAAAGCAGAGTTCTAATTCTGGTGGCACCACTAACAGTTTGTCTATCCGTCTTGCCTTGTCATTTCAAGATCAAGAGATAATTTTTTTTTACTTTATTATTCATATTCAGTTCATAGGTGTAGTGTTTTAGAGATCCCAGTTGACTGTCATTGGAGCTACAGAGTTTGTGCGCCATGTGAAGCTCACAGCAGACAGTCAGTCAATTCTGGGAGAAGGGGGGGGGGGGGTTAAGGGTGTGAGTCTGATGGGATAAAACACAAGGCAACAAAGTTAATCCTCTCACAACATAACTGAGAATAGTGAGCAGAAGTGGGTTATCCTCCGAATAATGGTCTTAAATTATCGAGGCGGAAAATATACCCTAACAGGGCCTCAGTCACGTGTCAATAGCGCACTTCCGTTGTCTTAAATTGTGCACTACGGACGACTTCCGCCACCGCCAAGAGTATCCCCCACGCCGCTCACACGGCTTGGATTGGGGCTAGACTAGATGGCCAGGACTCACGAGCAGCAGCTACCACATCACCTGCAGCTTCATTTTTTTTGCTCGTGAGTCCTAGCCATCTAGTTTAGCCCCAATCCACGGCGCTCACGCGGCGTGGGAGATACTCTTGGCGGTGGCGAAAGTCGCCTGAAAGTTTGCAATTCGGGGATGGCGTCTTAGTCTCCGGAAGTGCGCAATTGACACGTGACTGAGGCCCTGTTAGGGTATATTTTCCGCCTCGATAATATAGGACCGTTATTCGGAGGATAGCCCAGAAGTGCTCTGATATGGTGGCTGCAGCAGAAAACTAAAGAACACATGGAAATATCTTATTTACTGTGTCTTAAGTTCGATTTATAAAAAAAAAAAAGTTGAGCCGTTGCCTCGCTTTAGGTATAATGGGTATATTGGGCTAGAGCTATATTTTATAGATCAATCAGCACTTGGTGGGCGGGGTGATGTGGTCGGGATCATGCAGCCACCTTTACTTTCCAGGTGGGACCCATTTAAGGCTGGGACGACCTGGGAGTCAACGTGATTTTTGCACCTAACGCATGTTGTTTTAGGAATAGATAGTGAATGCACTATAAGTTTCTTGCAGCTGAATGAGTTATAAAACAAATACGATTTACCTGAATATTGTCTGCACTGAGACGATGGTGTTGCAGTCTGCCAGTGTGTCCTCTTCACGTGAATTTGAAGTCTCTTTATTGACAACCACAACATTTTCTGCTGAATTAATACCGGCACGCAGTAAATCCTCTATGCTAAAGAAAACAGCAATGTTACAGAAAACAATTTCAGTTTTTTAATCTAAATAAAATAATTCTTTCAGTCCAAGCAGTTGTTTTAATATTCTCTATCTCAAAGTTTTGATATTTTATAGTATCAGTTTGCTTGCCTGTTGATAGGAAGGTTGTGGGTTCAAACTGTCCCAGCCTTAAATGGGTACCAGGTAAAGTCCTGGGAAGTAAAGGCGACTGACATAATGTTAACCGCATCACCCACTGAATGCTGATTGGTCTATAAAATATAAGACAGCCCTGTAGGACCAATATGTCCAAAGGTATTGAAAAAGGTAATTTCCTTTTTTAAAGTTAAAATAAAACAGATAAAACAACTATGGATCAAAGAAGTTAAAGTAACTCCTAGTATGCAACAGCTTTGAATATGAGAAGAATGGGACAAAGGACAATAACTCTTCAGGTGCCAAGGAACATATTGTGAGTTTATAAATAAATTATCTGTCCTCTGGTACTGAAAGAGTTAAGGAAAATACGTACTGTACATTGTAGTCAAATGCTTTTAATCTATTTAGCACATAATACCAGAACCATGTTTTCAAACACTAATCAGAACCCAGCAAATTATTCGGGCAACATCACACTGTACACCAAGCAAATAATGTGGGTAACATCACACCGCACACCAAGCAAATGATGTGGGCAACATCACACTGTACACCAAGCAAATGATGTGGGAAACATCACACCGCACACCAAGCAAATGATGTGGGAAACATCACACCGCACACCAAGCAAATAATGTGGGCAACATCACACTGTACACCAAGCAAATGATGTGGGAAACCTCACACCGCACACCAAGCAAATAATGTGGGTAACATCACACCGTACACCCAGCAAATGATGTGGGAAACATCACACTGTACACCCAGCAAATGATGTGGGAAACATCACACTGTACACCCAGCAAATGATGTTTGTAACATCACACCGCACACCAAGTAAATGATGTGGGTAACATCACACCATACACCCTTACTTCTGAAGAAATTTATTTTATTCATTTAAAAATGGGCTGACTTTGGAGCCAAGTTTATTTTATAAAGCTCTGCCTTGGTACAGATTCAAACTAAGATCTTCAGTCTGGAAAACATGTAGACTGGAAACAAATGCAGATGAAGTGCCCTACAAAGAAACAAATAATCAACTGTGTTTTCTTTTTCTTCTTCTGCCTTCTATCCCCCACTGGTGCATAGGCCCTCAAACAACTCATGCCAAGTGGTTCTATCCCTTGCTAATGCATGCAGCTCCTCCTATATCCTCCCTATCTTCTCAACTTCACTCTTTGTCTCCCTTCTCCATTTGTTTTTTTTGGTTTGCCTTTATTTCTATGAATCTGTGAGTTCCAGTGCAAAGACATTCTAGTCATATTTTTCTCAGGTTTCCTCAATGTGTGTCCTATCTGATGCCAGTATCTTTTTTTCACCTCTTGATACACTGGAACTTGTTTAGTTCTGTCCAAAAGCTTAACATTAGTTATTCTATCGTACCATTTATTTCCCTCTATTATGTGTAAGCACCAGTTAATTAATGTTTGCAGTTTATTAGTAACTGTTTTAGATGTTCACTAATCAACTGTGTGCAGGGGGAAAAACTTCTTCTTAGCATTCATCAGCTGTAAACTCCAGCCAAAGATTCTGGTTGTTCAGTCACTCCTGGATTTTGGTCTTGATTCAGAAGTTGAGCTTTTCATGCACATTTGTTTTGCAGGTCTGGCAATGACCTTACTTTTCAACTGTTTTCAAAATATTTCACTTTTATGCTTACTACAGCAGCTCTTTACACATCCATTTTCTTCAAAAATAATTGTATTAAATAAGTTCAGTGAAATATTCTATATTCTGATGCATTTACTAATCTTCAGGTCCACAATTTAATTTTTCTTTTTGAATGACTTTTTCTCTAGGCAACATTTTTTGGGTCACTTCTTTCTCATTAGTAGTTCACTTCTGCCCTAATCCATTACATGTTCTAGATAGCATAGACTTCTACTTACCAATCCATGGAACCTCGCATCCAGAAAACAAGAGGGAAAAAACTGATCATGGTTTTAAAAGTGACATCTGGCCTGCATTGAAAAAATAACACATTAGGGAATTATTTAACAAATATGCAAGTATGAACGTACGTTTAGAATGACTTATGTAAAATTAACATCTCTAAGTTGAGATACCTGAAGATAGCTGCCTGCATAAGCATACCAATCTCCAATCCTTTCCTTCAACTGCATAAATTCTTATCCAGTTATTTGTTTATAGTATAAAGTCTAGAGGATACACTTCAATGCAATGGAATGTATCCAATCTGGCTCAATTTCTCTTTGTAGAACTGCCAACTGCTTGCTGAGAGAGATGCATCAAACACAAACTTTGTATTTCTGCTGATGATCCCCAGGGTTCATCATGAAAATTGAACTCGTGACAAAAACACCTCAGTTCATGAAAGGAAGCCAAAACCTTCAGAGGCAAATGGCTTAACCATAATGATGTAATGTGAATACAGTAAAGTTAACATTTTTTTTTTAAAAATTGGTAGTTAATGAGTTATGAGAAATAAAACATTTAAACAATCTTCTTCTTCTTCAGTAGCATTCTGAGCCAATCAGATTCATTGCTGCAGCTGTCACCTGACTACATTAATCTCTGTGACTGGCTTCTCCCTCCAGTTGCTGACTCCAAAGGTTTTTACTTCTGCTTGAATATTAGTCTAACTGGCGGCCGACTCCCATTCAATTCCTTTACGTACACACTTTTTGCCTCTCTGTGAATTGTAAATCTCTCTGTACGTACCAGCCATTTCAGTCTTTAGCCCACATTCCAGTGATCAGTGGTGATTTAAACAGATTACAAACTTCATTAAAATTTAACAATGAACAATTAATTTTGAACAAATTTTCAAATAATACACATACTCTTTTGAAAAAAGTAAGACAATTGGGTTGAGTAACTTTTTCGGGCGGGCATGAGACCGCAAAGGCACAATGAAATTGTAAAGTCCAGAACTTGCATGCTCTGCAGCAACAATAATGGCTGGATTACGCCAGTTGTATTCCCGGGCATTTTGATGGCGGCAGTGGACACAACTCTGTAAATTTTAAAATCATAAATATTATGAGAAAATAGTAAATAATATTTCAGTGCTAAAATTAAATACGGCACAAACGTTTAACTTGCTAGAAATACAAAAATGCTAAAACTGAAAATTTTACAATATTTTAAGAAACATTGAAAAAAATAATACTGATGATTACAACATAAACATGGTTACAGTCTATTCCAAAAGTCATGCCTAAATTTAAAAAACTCAGAAACCGTTTAGGGTAAATTTTTGAAATTTGGCATCAACCTGTCGGTAATTATTTTCTTGAAGAAAAGTAATTATAAGGTAAACATCTAGTTTTTTGTGTGTGGCCTTATTTGTATTATATGAAAAAACAGACACTAATTGAAAGAATACATTTAGCATGTTTACAGTAAATGGCTTGAGGTGAAGCTAGTAAGAATCAAAATCATGCATTTTGGAAGTAATTTATGTGAGAAACTAAGGCGCACTTATTTTGAATAGTGAAGAGGATGCATCATAGACTGCCATAATGCTTGTTGACTGGCTCATAAAAAGTACACAATCTGTGTCAATTACTGTATGTTCTGTGTTTTTTTTTTAAGAGGAACGCAAATTGCAACTGTTTGGTAAAGATTAAAGAAATTTGCTTCTGTAAGAAAACAGCAGCAACTGTGCAATTGTAAATTATAAATCATAATGACATGGAAAATCTAAGACCACATGCAAGAATTTGTGTCGATACATACAGTTTTCAAAATATTTGTTAAAGTTTGGGTGCACAAATTTTTAAACAGACTACAGACATGATAATAACATAGTTATAATAACATGAACTTCATTTTAATAATACTGCAAACAAACAAGTTTGAGAATTCAAATATATGGAAAGTATACTTACAGAAGATGGCAGAATCGATAGAGAAAGAAGCAAAAGTACAGAAAGCGAATGCTATTGTCTACCATCTTCCTCCTCTGCCTTGGCACTCAAATGTCTCTCTTCCAGAAAAACGGCAAATAATTAACAGCATCTTTATCCCTACTTTATGCTATCAGTGCTAAATATGGACAATGAGTAGGGCATTAGAACGGGGGGAAAACCACATGTGAAAAATGTGTCATCTCTGTAAGGTCACTAACAACACAAGAAGGTACAGGGTTACAAATAGCAGCTCTAGATAGAAAGTTAGAGCAAGACCATGTCTGAACTATATCGAAAGAAGAGAATGAAATGGTTCGGCAACATAGTAAGAATGCAGCTAGACCAAACTGCATTGAGACTTTTTACAGCAGAACATTTGTGAGGAAGGTGAAGGGAATACCAAGAAGGAGACTGATAAATGGTATAGCTGAAACCTACAAAAAGATGAACAAATCCATCATCCAAGTCACTCAAGAAGTTCAAGACAAATACAGAAAATCACAACTGGCTTCACCATGGTATCATAACATAAGACACAAGAAGAAGAATAGAACATTATTAAAACTGAAAGCAAATATTGCTGTTAACAAAACTAGCAAATCAAAAAACAATACAAGATTTATACAAACACATAATGGTCACATTATTATCTGATCATCATCAAAGTCCATATACAATAAAATTAGACTTGCCAGGTGAGCAGACAAATAGATCTGAATGTTATTATTTTAGTAAGTGATTTTTGTCTGGTTTTTTTTTCTGTTGATGGTAAATTTGTCACAGAAACACCCACCGTCATTGTAATTCTGCTGGCATTCTCCTCTTTCTACTTCATTTACCTTAACAACAAAGACTATCCCATGTAAATGTGAGTTCTCATTTACCTTTGGGATGTTGTGTGGTGATATTGAACACAGGCATGAACAAAAGTTAAGGCCATTGTGATGTATTACGGAGTTAGTCCATGCTTTACCTCAGGTGCCAGCCAACTTTAGGATGGTTTTACACATCCTCATGCCAGACTTCTGCTGCAAGTCCATGTCATGCCCCATGGATAAGGACTCACCGTTTTGACCTTAACCAAATTGGTAGGGGATCTTGGAGTTGGTAACCTCTGGAGATGAAGTGTCCAGTTTAGCTGACAGCAGCCCACCCCTAATGCATGAGTGAAAACGTCTATCTATGCTCATTTGAAAAATTAGTAAAATCTGCTAACCAAACACTAGTAAATGAAACCCCTCAGTTAAAACATCTGTCGAGTAGGAACAACTGTACTGCTGAGATTCAGCAGCTGGCTGGGTATCAATGTCCGTCTAACACATGCTCTGTGTCACAGAAACAAAGTCCGGAATGTCAGACCAAAAGCAGGCCTACTAACTGTCAGAAAGGTTCACGGATCCATTACCACTGGCCTAATTGTATGAGTGAGGGAACTACAAGGGGAAACTACAAGCATGCCGGATGCATGCTTTTACCGTATGGTTTTGTTAAGTTTCCAGATGAAACAATGTTAAAGGTGTCTAACATGCCAACAAAAAATGTACTTATTTGTATGGCCATCGAAGTCCCGGACCTACTGGCTGTATGTAAAATTCACTGTGATGCGTAAAGAGTTAATGAAGCTAGGATTTTGTGAGGCATGGATACACATGGGCTTTCCTGTTGTGTTGATGGGTTATGAATGTAAAAATTTGGGGCCACTGAAAGAGAGTGGAGCATGAGCCACTAGGGAAACATGAGTCACGTGAAGTTTTAGACGGGCTTGCAAACATCATGAATAATGTGGATCCATAAAGGTCGACAGCACGGGTGGGTTGTGTACCCTAGGGTTTTAGCGGGAAAATGAGATTCATGCAGACATAATCACAGGTGGCAAAAATCCCATGGTAGTTTGTCCAAGTGTGTGAATGTGCACGTGCATTTTTCAAGTCCCGTGTGACAGCTTTAGCATGTTTTATTCTGACAGGGTCTTCAGGGGCAAGACCTGCAGATAAGTTAACAAAGAGAACATCACACAAATAAAGCCACATGTCTCTGTCCCATGAAACTATCCAGGAAGATAACCTAGATAACAAATGTCTAATGAAGTCGGATGTCTCAGTCGAAAGGTGCAAATATCACAGCTCTGCTGTAAACAGGCACAATGCATTTACATCGCTCGGTTGAATGAAAAGAAGAAGATTTACCTTTGAGATGATGATCCAAGAGTCAAATATATAAAGAATTTTAGTCATAGAAATGAAAGCACTGATGGATGAAAGGACGGAGGTAAAGATAAATGGAGGAAGAAGGTAAAAAATCTATTCATCGGGTTATAATGTAGCACTTAGCCAATATTTAAAAAAAAAAGTTAAATGCTATAATGAACACTGGAAAAAAAAGAAGTGAATACTTACAGCATCAAGCTGGAGACAACAAAAAGGCCTCTTCTCTCTCATCAGATGGCACAGTGTAGGGCTCGTCCCAACATAGGGAGCAACTGGAGGAAAGCCACACACATATCTGGCCCATGAATCAAAGTTTTATCAAATTAGACAGCCAAATTAATTTTTTAGAGTAGCTGGTCAAATAATGAAAAGTAAAGGTTTTTGTTAATATGCCAGAGAAAAATAAAATTCTAGCATAAACACAGCTTTGCAACTTTGTGATTGTCTGGATAAGAGGTATTCACTTCCTGAAACAAATCCCCCAGTTAGTGGGTATTTAATTATAAACCATTTTGTAATTCATCAACAGCAGATACTACGATAAGTTAAATAAATTCAATAATACAGTTACTTCCTCTGCTTTCCATGATTGCAAGGTGTTATACTATATTTTTGTCTTTCAGCTATTTTGTTTAAGTTACCAAGGTATCCACTCTGCAATGGCTTGGAAAGAACAGTAATAGAAGACAGGGTTCCTAGAAGAAAAGACAGAGGCTGACCAGCAGGTAGGTGGTCACAGGACGTTAGAGATATATTTCAGCATGAAAATGCACAAGGCAGAAGAATCAGCAAGGAATTGGGCCCTGATGGTACTGACTTTCTACAAAAGATCTGCTTGATGATGATATTATATCATTAAAACTCCAACTTACTTTACTTTACTTTTTCCTTCCACGTATGCCGCTAAGCGCTGTGGGGAGATGCAAGTTCCTGTCATAAGCAAGGCGGGCAGCATCTGATGTTCTGAGGCCATGCTTTTGGCAGGTTTTGGAGACCCCGTCAATCCACCGTTTCCTTGGTCTTCCTCTTGCCTTATATCCTGAGCTTCTTTGGTTGAAAATTTGTGATGTTATTTGATCATTTTTCATCCTGGTTAGATGTCCAAACCATTTCATTCTTTGATGTTCTATGTAGTCTAAACATGGTGTAGTTTTGACAGTGTTTCTAATGTCTATATTCTTTATCCTGTCTAGTCTGGTCTTATTCGCTGCTTTTCTTAGACATTTCATTTCACAGGCTTCTATTTTTCTTTCATGGGTCTTGTTGATTGTCCATGTCTGGCACTGGTAGCAGAGTGTTGGAATGAAGATGGTGTTTATCAATTGTCTTTTGGTCTTCATGGTTATATCTGGATGTTTAAGCAGAGGTGATAGTTGGTATGTGACAGCATTTGCTTTCTGTATTCTTGTTTCTATCTCTCTGTCCATTCTTCCATCCTCTGTAAATATACTGCCCAAGTATTTGAACTCTTTGGTTTGCTTGATTTTGGCACTTCCAACATTTATATTCAGTGGCCTGTGTGTTCTGCTGATCTTCATAAGTTCTGTTTTTTCTGTACTGATTCTCATATTATGTTGTAAACAGCTGTTGTTGAGAGTAGTCAGATGTTCCTGTAGATCATATTCATTTTGATACAGTATGCTTTGATCATCAGCAAAAAGTAATTTGTTTATAGCATACACGTCTGGGTTTGCTTCTACAGTGATCTTATCCATGTATTTTATGAAAAGTAATGGTGACAGTACACATCCTTGTCTGACACCAGTTGTGACTTTGAACCATTCAGAAAGACCACTAGATGTTCTTACTGCACTTTCACTTTTTTCATAGAGGGCTCTGATGTTGTCTAATAATTGACCCTTTACTCCGTAATCGTCAAGAGTTCTCCACAGCACATCTCTGTCTACACGGTCGAATGCCTTCTCTTGATCTACAAAGACCACGTTCAGCTCTTTATCGTATTCGAGTGTCTTTTCACAGACTTGTCTTAGTGCAAATATGGCATCAGTGCAACCTCGCCCTTTCCTGAAACCGAATTGTGCTTTACTCAGTAGAGGTTCAACCTTTGCTCTTATCCTACCTTCTAAGATCTTTGCATACATTTTCCCCACATGACTTAGTAAAGATATTCCTCTATAAGTTCCACATTCTCTCTTGTTTCCTTTTTTCTTCCAGATAGGTACTACAACTGATCTTTGCCAATCCACTGGTACCTTTCTCTCTGCCCATGCTCTATTGAAAATTCTCTCCAGCCAGGTGATCATAGTGTCCCCTCCAGCCTGGATGACTTCTGTTGTTATTCCGTCGATACCAGCTGCTTTGTGTCTTTTACTTGTTTTGATAACTTTCTCTACTTCATCCCGCAGGATATGTGGTTCTAAATGATCTGGAGCCCTTGAATGGAATTCTGCTGTTTCATGTACTCCCGACGGGTTCAAAAGTTCTTTAAAATATTCCTCCCATCTTTTTTTAATTTCTTTTTGGCTGAATAATGGTTTTCATTTTTATCGTTTATGACTGATGTTGGATTGAAGCTTTCTTCTCTTAATCGCATCGCTTTCACACTCTTATAAAAGTCTCTTGGTGATTCTGTACATAGCTGTGTTAGGTGTTCACCATACCTTTTCCATGATTCCTCTTTGGATTTCTTTATTGTTCTCTTGGTGTCTCTTCGAGTTAGTCTGTACCTAATGTAATCCTTTTCGTCTTTTGTTTTTAACCATATTTGAAACATCTTTTTATTTGACACTGCTTCTTTGACTTCTTCATTCCACCAAGCGGTACCCTTTTTCTTGCCTTTGCCCGTCTTTCTGGTACCACACTTGTCTTTTAATATCTTCGTGATGGTTGATTTATAATAATCCCATTCTTCTTCAATTCTTATTGGTTCAATATCTGCAAAAGCCTTTGTTATTTCTAGTTCAAATTCATGTTTGATATTCTCTTCCTCTAATTTCTTAGTGTTGATGATTTCTTCACGTTTCTGTTTATGTAGACTGTTTCTACTTGAGTTGCATATGTTCATAACTACTGGGCGATGGTCTGAATCCAGTCCCGCATTTGGGACAGCTTTTGAGTCTCTTACCTTCCTCTTCTGCCGTTGTCTGACTAGTATAAAATCAATTTGTGACGCTTGATCTAAGTTGTTCCACTTGTACCACGTTTTAACCTGACTTTGGCGATGTTGGTAGAATGTGTTGGTAATGTAGAGATCTTGTTCAGCACACAAGTTTAACAGGTGTTCTCCATTTCTATTGCAATCTGTGGTTGTGTCGCTGAATGGGCCAAGGTATCTCTCCCATGGTGATCTTCTTTTACCTACCCTACCATTAAAATCTCCCATTACTATGATGTCCTCTTTCTCTTTAACATTATTGATGGTGTCCATAAGTCTCTCGTAAAAGTCTTCTTTTTCTTCTTCAGAATAACTATCGTTGCAAGGTGCATATATCTGAATAATCGTTGTAGTTTTACTTCCTTCTGTCAACTTGATTAAAATAATTCTTTCTGATATAAATTCTGTTCCTGTTATTAATTTTGCTGTCTCGGGATGAAGTATAAATCCGACACCATGTTTTGCCCTATCTTTAGTGGGTACTCCGCTCCATAATAAAACATAATTTTCATGTATTTCTTTTGTATTATATCCTTTCTTTCTTGTATCCGCAAGACCCATGACGTGTATAATTTTTCTTTTCATGAAATCCACTATTTGTGGCTTTTTGTTGGCAATACCACATATGTTCCATGTGCCTATGTAAGTCGTTTTTCTGTCTCGTCGTCCTTTAACGTTTCCAGTCCATTTTCCGTTTGGGGCTGTCCGTTTATTTATCTCCTTTCTAATTTTCGTAGCAATAAAAAATCCACTGCCGGCTTGCTAGGCCAGTCGCAGTTTAAGGGAAAATCTGACCAGATGGACCCCATCCCATCTGGCGAGCCAGAGCCTCGTTCGCCTGTGGCCTCACGGCCACAGTTTCCTGGTCTGCACCACTGGGAGGAGAGGTTGACTTATGTGTACTGTGGGTCATCGGCAGGCTACTAATTTTCACTTTTCACCTCTCCTAAGAGAAGCTAGCCGACCCCAACCCTACTGGATGCAGAGCCAGGCACAGTCCACATCTTGCAAAACTCCAACACACTCTGATTATTAAGATTCTAAACATATTCAGTTACTAATACTCTGAACATATCCTACATCATGAATATCAAGAATGCATTCATATCAATTAATTCCAGAATGATACTCTACACCATGACTCTGAACATATTATAACTCATTAGTACAAAGAATCACATAATATATATTCCAATAGAGGCAAAACTTTTGGTCAAGAGAAACATCTGTGCACGTCAAACTTTATGGGTTGCTGAGTGAATTACAAAAGACAGTGAAGTTCATACTAGAGACAACACTGCAGACATACATAATTTATTTCAAGCGAATGAAAGAAGAAGAAGTAGATATTCCAATTAATTAACACTAAAAACATACTGTAATGCATTAATAATCTGAACACATTCTAGTTAATTAAATTGCTGAAAAATATTCTCACTGGGTGAAACATATACATTCTCATTAATTTAGACTCTTAAGATATTCTAACTGATGAGCAGCAGTGCAGAAGTTGTAGTACAGGGAGAGATTATCTTTTTGAAGTCAGTATGATGTTCATCTGAGGGAATCTCCTTTCACATTCACTCACACCCTGTGTGGGTTCCTGGGCCCCATTGTGGGGATCTCCTTTCACATTCACTCACTCCCTGTGTGGGTTCCTGGGCCCCATTGTGGGGATCTCCTTTCACATTCACTCACACCCTGTGTGGGTTCCTGGGCCCCATTGTGGGGATCTCCTTTCACATTCACTCACTCCCTGTGTGGGTTCCTGGGCCCCATTGTGGGGAAAAACACGAATAGTCCCACTGCCTGCCCAGAAGAGTGTTGTAAGAGTCGACTGGGAGCTTCCTTCTGAGTACATCTGCCTGATAGGCAAGGAACCAACAGTCTGCATGCAAATGAGTCAAACCATTGAAGTGGATGTGAATGCAACACTCAGGTTCTGGAACAGGACTAAAGTCCAGAAGTGGAAAAACAACCAGAACTTCTGAGTCAGAGTTTACAACCGGTGAACGTGAAGAAGAAGCAGAAAATATTCTAATTTTTATATTAAACAAGCTCACTCTGGGAATTCCCTTTCTACATCAGCCTCTGTATAATCATCCTCTGATTCAGACCCGCACAAACTGATGCGAATACTACTGCTGTCAATAGTGGCAGGCACTTGGCCGATGCTGGGTCTCTTGACTGACTCTAATGTCTGAACACTCAGTCCCTGAGGAAAAAAACAATACTAGAAATGAGACATTCAGGGTAAGAGAGAATCATCATTATCTAATGTAGTTAGTTAGTCAGTCAGTCAGTCAGTTAGTTGGTCAGTTAGTTAATCAAAAAATGATCCTTACCGCAGATCGGACAAGTCCGTAAGTGCTCTGATCCCATCTTCAGTATATCCCCCAGTGTTTGGCGACAGATAACACCAGTTTTGTGTTGGTTTACTATTCTTCTTTGGCTACCTGTATATTGTTCATGTTTTATCTAATTTAGTAGTAATTTAAAAACAATATCAAGTTCAAACCATCCAGGATGTAAGTGGGATGTGCAGAAATCATTCTATTGCAAAAATGGATATTTATGCCTATCAATTACAATTGGTTATTTAATTTTGTATAGCTTATGTATTAATTGTACAAGATTGTAGAAGTATAGATTGTAAAATTTAATACACGTTTAGTGCACCTTTCGAACAATTATAGTCATTATATTGTGTAATCTTTCTGCGGATATTTAAAGTGAATTCTAATACCATTATTCTGTCTTAAAGATATATTAACATCTCACAGGTTGTGCAAATGTGATGGATAAGAGGGATACTGCTTCTCAACCATTCAGACAATTCAGCATACCTGTCTCAACCTTTCTCAACATGCTCTGTGAGTCAGTTACAATCTGTGAGTGCAGCATACCTATCTCAACCTTTCTCAACAGGCTCTGTGAGTCAGTTACAATTACACTCCGTGTGTGCAGCATACCTGACAATCTGTGTGTGCAGCATACCTGTCTCAACCTTTCTCAACATGCTCTGTGAGTCAGTTACAATTACACTCCGTGTGTGCAGCATACCTGTCTCAACCTTTCTCAACAGGCTCTGTGAGTCAGTTACAATTACACTCTGTGTGTGCAGCATACCTGACAATCTGTGTGTGCAGCCTACCTGTCTCAACCTTTCTCAACAGGCTCTGTGAGTCAGTTACAATGACACTCTGTGTGTGCAGCATACCTGTCTCAACCTTTCACAACAAGCTCTGTGAGTCAGTTACAATTACACTCTGTGTGAGCAGCATACCTGTCTCAACCTTTCACAACAAGCTTTGTGAGTCCGTTACAATGACACTCTGTGTGTGCTGCAGGTTCTCAAGCGCGCAGAAGGCTGCAGGGACTTGTGATGATACTAAGATACAGAAATCTGACCTATACCAGACTGACCTGTGACATCTTTGGTAGGCTAAGAGTGTGTTGTCTGTGGTTTGACCTGGCCATGAGATTTGGTTCAGAGTTGCTGGTGTTTAATGTTTGTGTCCTTGTGTGCTGGAGGTCTAAGGCCACTGTGCCTGCATGCAGAGGTAATAAAACAAAACCAACAAAGTAAAGAATCCTTCTCATGACTTAAAAAAATGTTGAATGAAGAATAAACATTACAGCACTCGGGACACTCCCATAAATGGTCAGTCCACATCTTCAGCAGCAAGCAAAGAGTTCCAATTTTGATGGTACCAGTAACTGTCTGATTGTATATCCTTCTCATCCTTCCCCTGAGTGTCCAGGATCGGCCAGATCTCCTGGTAACTCCTCGCAGTGTCATTCTCCTTAGACCATAATGATCTGTCTGCGCCACCGCACTGTATACTCGCTCCTAAAAGGCCCTCACAATATCTAACTTGTCATACATCAATTCACCACCAAGTAGTGCAGAGCCAGCCAGTCTATCTGCCTGCTCATTTCCCAACACATCGGCATGACCTGGGAAAAATTTCCAAAGGATGCTAACTACCTGGGACATCTGAAGTGATGCTTGCCACTCTGCATGCAGCATGCCTGTTTTCACCTTTCTCAGCATGCTCTGTGAGTCAGTTACAATCATGTCATGAGTGCATGAGTGTACAGCTGATTCTCAACCCAGCGGAAGACAGCAGAGACTGCCTCCACCTCCATTCTCAAACTAGAGGTTGTGATTTCATATGCAAGGCTTTGCTGCACTAAGCGAGGTCCATTCACCTTTGCCATAAAACAGACCACACACTGAAAGACTAATTCAACTGGGGGTGAGTAGAGGTTCTAGTAGATATTCAACACTGAGGAGGAAACATAGGTTGATTTTTAATCAGGTTGCGACTGATACTATTAGCATGTCAACTTATCATTGGCTACTGAAGAAGGGGACAGAGCACATGTGAGAATGTCCTGAGTGCATTGATGTCAGTTCTTGGTTAATTCTTTCATTACAGACCAATCAGTTCTTGACATTATACTGACCACCCTTACTCTCCAGGTAATTTTTTTTTTCAAGAACTCATTTTAGGCCAAACCGAGCTGGAAACCAATGCGAGTTATACAAATCTACCTCAAAGACTGGAACCTAAGAACTTTAGGCTGGAAGGCAAATTTTAAACCACTATGCTACTGCAACTTCAGATGTAGTGCAGTATTTAAAATGCAAAAAGAAAAAAAATCGACAAAACAATTACCCAAAGGACAAAGGACAGAAACTGCATGAAATTTGTGTCACTGATTAAAAAAAATATCAGTGTGAACAATCAAGGACATTATTAAAGTCAATAGTATGTTAAATACTGTTCTTCTTCTCTTTTAATCTTCCACAAACCCTCAGTCAACTCATGCCAAGTCCTGTGCTCATGAAGGGTTTATTTTGCAGCCAAAGATTTTATGGGATGAACTAGCCAGTCTCATGCCAGCTCTTCTTATATGTCTTTTAACTCTTTCAGTCCCAGAACTTTTCACAGCAGTTGTTTAAAAAAGAAAAATAACAACTACACACACACAAATTCTGAGCACAAAACTTTCAAATAGGCAACTGCATATGCCAGTTTTCTTTCGTATTCTAAGACCAAATAAGAAAAAAAAAAACAATCAGATATTGTGTAATTTTTGGGATGGAAAAAGTTAAGACATGCATACTAGGGTGATACTATTCATTTTCTCTCTTATATGCCCTAACAGCAAACCCCAATAGTTGGCCTATGCTGTATGATTTTGTAACTGCTGGTTCATTCTTAATTAATATAACATGCATGGATACTGGGGAAGTTTGGGGTGGGAGGGGGGGGGGGGGGAGAGGGTGTTCAGAACCAGGAAGAAGGCAGACACACAGCTAAACTTAAGGTATCATGCAAAACATTATTCTTGTGTGTGCCTTTACCATGTTCATCATTAATTGCCTTGCCTGTCTTCTGATTTCACAATTTGTGTTTGTTTCTGTGAGTGATAGTCAATGCCAGAGAAATTATTTATAATGTTCTCTCAGCAGCAACAACAACAACTATGTATAAAAATATTTGAAACAATACAGATTACATATCTTTCCGTGTGGGTTCCGGGGCTCTGTTATAGGGAAAATAAGAATAGACCCACTGCCTAACCCAAAAGCATGTCATAAGAGTCGATTAATTGGGAGCTTCCTTCAAAGTCGAAGTGCATCTGCCAGGGAGGCAAGGAACCAACAGTCTGCATATAAATTAGTCAGATCTGTCAAACAGATGCACACGCAAGATTGTGGAACAGGACTGCAGTCCAGAAGTGGATGAACAACCAGAACTTTCTTCCAGAGTTTACAGCTGGTGAATGCGAAGAAGAAGAAGAAATTACATATGAAGCAATTAATTACTAGAATTAAAATTCATATAAAGAAGGGTAAAGAATGCCCATACCATCTTTGAAGAAGTTTTCCCTAAAGATAAAACTGAAAACAATAATCAGCTATTTCACTAACGGAATAATAAATCCAACTTGTTAACGGCACAGTGTTAGTAAAATTGACTAATTATTTATAGTACAGTTTCTATCATAACTCAAATCAAAACAATATGTGAAACAATACAAATTAGATAGTCATTTAAATAATTACGTGATATATAAATATAAAATAACAAACATATACTCTGAGAAATCAATTAACACTACATATCCCAGTTATAAACCTGAGGGCTGAACAGGATATTTTTGAAAAATTATTACTACTACTACAACAACTACAACAACAACAAGTACAAATCAGCAACAACCACAAATCTGTAAGCAGCTAATAAAACTGTAGAATGTCAGCAACATAACAGATTCCATGTTAAGTTTGCTGATAGCGCAATGTAATATGTTTGACTGATTTCACTTCTTCCCCCACCAATTTTGTATGGAAATATTTGGTAGTGTTAATGTGTTGTTGGTCATAGTATTGCAGTGACCACTAGAAACTCAACTATTAGCCTGTGATGTTGCAGAGCAGCAACAAAAAACAACAACAAAATCAGCAAGAAGCACACATACATAAGCAACCGGTCACAAGTATAAAACACCAGCAAGCTTACCAACATTGGCTATCACACTCGCCACACGTGAAGATTTTTCCTGCCCAGAAGGCGACTTGGTCCGATCTACTGTAGTTGTATCATGGTTCGGATGAGCCAGAATAAATGCAGAGTTCTCCTCTTTGCTAATGTTCAAGTAAAAACAAATGTCCGACTTCCTCATGATGTGCCGAGGACCAGGGTTCAGCTGAATTTTGTTTCCTTGAACATCCCTCTGGATCCCCACTAGACTGACACTATATCTGTCAAAGAAAGCCAAAGATTTATTTATTCCTCCATGTTTAAGTTATGTGGCAGAAATATATTTGGGGCAAGACTACTGATGTACAGAAGACCTCCATCTATCAAATCACCTACCTACCAACTTGACACAAATGCATACATTTTATTACGTATACACACATACATACTTATATATAGCACGCACACACGCACACGCATGCACACACACACCACCACACACCAGTAGTCTTCAAATGAAAACCTTAAAAGTGGTGACTGAAATTACAAAAACAAAGCACTGTCTTGAAACCTTAAAAATACTGTTGCTAAGGATGTCAAGAGTATTAAGCAGCGATATCACAGTGTGGACGAACATTCATGATGACAGTTTAAAGATGCCCACTCCACTTATGATATGCACCAAAGAGAAGCAGCGCTCTGTTAACCGTTTTTAAAAAAACAGTTAAGGAGTGAAACCTAAAAAAATTTATCAGCGAATGAAGGTCCAGTATGTTGTTCAGTCAATTAGTGGTTATCTTTACAAAGCCTTCAGTGGTTGCAATCCAGTCTGGGGTCACTTCTGTCTGTGCCTGACCTAGTTGTGAGCAGTCTGTCTCAGAAATCTGGCTGTTTTGAAACAACCTACTCCACCCGTACACTTGCTGGACCAACAGGCATGCGTCACCAGACTGGAGCTTCATAAGGGACTAACAGTAATATGTAAGAGATGAGTTGAGTCAAGAATTGACATCACAGCCCTGGTGCATTTCCATGTGTGTTCCGTCACCATCTTCAGCAGCCAGCACAGAGTTCTAATACTGATGGCACCAGTCACAATCTGGTTATTTGTCCGTCTTGACTTTCCTCTGAGTGTAGTGAGCCGGCCAGAACCTCTGGTTACACCCAGGGGCCTTATTCCCTCCAAGCTATAATAATCTTGTTTCTCTACTGATTCCATTGCTTGTTCCCAAAGAGCCTTGACCACATCTGCCTTGCATGTATCAATTCACTACCCAGTAGTAGTAAGTAAGCAAATGATGTATTAAATTGCTCCATTTTCTTACAGACCAAAAGGAGCTTGAATGTATTAATACTGATTGTAACCAGGTCAGCAGAACTGACAAATATAGTATTCTCTGTGTTTGCAGACAGTGCATGATTATATTTGTCTGGCTTGCACTTTTGCTATTTTATATTGAATACATTTTATAAGCATGTCTTTTGGACAATTGTTTTCACACTGGGCTACTAGTTTTCATTCCTATGAGTACATCATAGCTTTCATTGGGTGATTGACATACTGTTTTGCTATGCAATACTGATCCACTGTGAAGCAATGTTTGTTTTTATGATTTGTTATTTGATCTTTCATTGAGGTCCTCTTTAGAATATTATGCTTTAAGGAAATAAAAAATGTATGTTGAGAGTGTGAGTGCATTCCAGGACCTACCAAAAGGTCATTGTGAACACACTTGACTAGTCACTAGACCTGTCCAATGGACTCTAATCAAGTGGTCAGATAATGACTAACACACTACCCACAAAATACAAGAGGTGCGGTTTGTGCATGGATTCTTCCCTATTCACTCATCGAGCCATTCAGCCACCACTCAATTGTCAAACACTACACAGAACAAGCGTTTACTGTCCAAGTCACATAATGTATTTCAACACATGAACAGACATGATAATCAAATGCCTTACATTGTCATAATCATTCGCGCTGATTCCCACACTGATAAACATTGACACTGGCAAGGCTCACAATATCCTTATGCAACCTGTGTCTCTGGCAGCTGCTACTGGCAACTTCCCCTGACCAAGCAGACCCACTGTTTGTGATGAAACTGTGACCATCCTCTGATGTCTCTCTATCTAAGCAACCTTGTCACCCAAGGAGCTCCAGACAGATGCACAAAACCTTGCGGAAGAACCTGATTCTCATCTGCTGCTTAGTCACACAAACTCCAGGTATCATCTGATACCTCCATCAAGAACATCACCACCGGTCAACCCTTGTTCTGACTGCAGTCTTCTCAGAACATTAAGACACTTGTCTTCATTGAACCAGTGTGTTACATAGATGCACACAGTACTAACATGGCAACACCCAGGATAGTACCAACACCACCAACTGTCTAAAGAAATCCCAAATATGGCCCTAGAGCGATGACCATTGCCAGACTGATATGTCTGCTCCTTGAGAGTCTTGAGGTTGACTGTGTTTCTCCCTCTTGATTATGTGTAGTGAACTGGTTTTAATCTTCAGTCCATAAGTTCACGATGCTTGTGAGTCCCTTCATGCAAGGCATGAAGACTGGTTCACATTCATTCTGAACCCCCATGGTTTCTTCCAAATTCATGGCTATTCAGGTCCTTGACCCTATAAAGTTGTGTATTCAGTTCAATTTACATATCACAAACGTAACTTCAAGAGAGCTAGCCCTGTCTATCCATACATTTACCACAACATATTATAAATATTCATCTTCTTTAGCTTTCCAAGCCCTTGAGGTTCATTGCTGCAGATATCACCAGCTTCTATTTATCTCTATGACTGACCTTCTCTTTCCAGCTGGTGATTCCAAGTGCTTGTAGGTTTGTCAGGATATTATCTCTATGTATTCTTAGTCTGCCTCATGGTCTGCAGCCATTTAACTCCTTTGGGTAAAAAGTTTTTTTGGGGGGGCCTCTCTGTCATCTACCATTCTCTTTACATGCCTCAGCTATTTCAGCCAATTAGCCCTTATGATACCAGTGATCAATGTCTATTTAAGCAGATGATGAATTTTATTGTTGCTTCTCACTCACCATTTTCTGCTGTTTGCATCTTTGATGGGTCCAAACATTTGCCATAAGACTGTTTAAAAAAATATATAATAAGGCTTAATCTCTTTTAGTTGTTCTTCAGATGTATAAATATGCAATTACAAAATAATTGTTTTAATCTTTATGTGAATACAACTGTTCTTCAATAACTTACTTGCGATGAGCATGAAAAGAGGCAAATGTAAAACTTTTGCCCTCATAGTCACCAAAAAATTTGCTATCTCCAAGTCGTATATGATAGATTTCATTCCCTGAACACTTCCCATATATTCTCTGCCATTCTTCATGAGATGTATTTCCTTCTCTGAAAGCAAAGGAAGCCATTTTAAAATTGTTCAGTTAAAAAATAGAGAGTACAAAGCTGAAAACCTTCATTTGTTTATCGTAAAGGCATTCTTCTTTCTTCTTCTGCCTCCTATCTCCCCAGTGGTGCATAGGCCCTCAACCAACTAACGCAAAGTTGTTCTATCCTTCATTATTGTTTGCAGCTCTCCCCATACCCTCCCCATCTTTTTAACTTCACACACTAGCTCCTTTCTCCATATTTTTTTTTGGGGGGGGGGGGGGTGAAGAGTTGGGGGTAGGGGGGCCCTTCCTTTATTTGTATGCCCCTGTGAGTTTCAGTGCAAAAGACATTCTAATTATCTTCTTCTCACCTTTTCTCAGCATGGGTACTATCCAATGCCGGCATCTTTTCTTCACCTCTTGGTCCACTGAAACTTCTTTAGTTTTCTCCCAAAGCTCTACATTTGTGATTTTATCATACCATTTAATTCCCTCTATTCTGCCTAGGCACCAGTTAATGAATGTTTGTAGTTTATTAGTATTTTCCTTCATGTTTCTGCTCTATACAACACTGCTGATTTAGCTTTAGAATTACAAATGTTAAGTTTAGTATTAGTTTTAATTTCTGTTCACTTCCACAAAATTCCTAGTGCTATGAAAGCTCCTCTTGCCTTTTGTATTTGTATTTGAATATCTCTATATCAGTTCCCCTATCATTATTTAGATTACTGCCCAAATAGATGTACGACTCCATGTCTTGTAATGGGATATCATTGAAAGAAACCACATTACTATTTGCCTGATTTATTCTCATTGTCTTAGTTTTTTCCCTTATGGGTTTTCAGACCTAGCTGTTATGATCTCGCACAAAGTATATTTAATTTATCCTGCATATGATTCCGTGAGAGGGACAGATTAGAAATATCACCAGCGAAGTCCAATCATCAAGCTGTTTTGTAGGGGCCCATTGAATTATATTCATGGTGTTAGCAGTTGCTGTCTTCATAATCCAGTCTATATGAACATTGTTGCGTATTAATTCAGTCATGATGTCGAAAATATCTTGCCAATCTTTCCGATGTAAGAACATTCTTAGACTAATAATTATTTTAAATCTTCTGTAATGTTTTTTTTTCTGTCGCTGGCAAAAATCCTGCACAGTCATGGTCTAAATCCTTAGGATCAAGTTCACTCCTACCAAAACATCCCGCCCCTTTTTTTTTCTTTCACCTCACTAAAACGTGGTAAACAAACAAAGGCAGTAACGATGATAGTTATGATTAATACAAAATTTGTAGTTCCTGTGATAATGAATGATGAGGATGAATCATGAGTTATGAGTTAGATTATCTTCATAGCACTCCGGACACATCCACAGGCGCTCAGATTTCCCTCTCAACATATTCATCAGCGTCGCACGGTTAATAGTGCCAGTCTTATGTTGGTTAACAAGACTTTGTGTGCGTCCACTGTGCTTCTCATGCTTGGCTGTGCCTGTGTACTCCCAATTCTCATATTCTTAGCAGTGTTGTGGACACGCTTCCAAAATCCTCAGAACGTCCTATCCCTCTAAGGGCAATGACAATGTCTGCATGATCCATGGACTGGCCATCTTCAATTAATGCTGCATTTTCTAGTCTGTCAACTCTTTCATTACCAACAATGCCTGCATGCCCTGGGACGAAGATAAAGGTAACTGCAAACACAGGAGAATTTTGCAATGACTCAAACCACTGTCTGCATAACCAGCCTCAACCCGCCGGATCATGCTCAAAGAATCACTCAGCACACACACGCGGGAAGAGTCCTGTGATTCTAGCCACATGAAAGCTTGTGTCACCACCACCACCTCCATCGTCATGCTACTGGTAGTCATTGAGAAGGCCCTGCTGGTTTCTTGAACTCTTCTGCCTGAAAAGCGAGCTGTAAAATGATGATGAATTAAGAATGCAGTGGTGTCAATTACTGACTCAAACATTCACTTATTCAATAGAAAATTTATAAAACCTAAACAAAATTTAAAAAGTCAAGACTTACTGTCCCCTTGAGGTGTGAAGCAGTAAAGTCACAAATGTTGAAATTCCAGGACACAAACAATTGTTGGCCAATAAGGCATATTTGAATTCATCCTCACATACAACATGGTCTACGGAGATAAAAACAATAACATGTTAAATCTGGCTCCATGCATTCAGTTAATGCTTTAATGGACAAAAAATTTAATTTCATATAACCCTTAAAAAAACATTTTGTTTCAAACGACTGTACAAAAATAGTTTTACCTAACCCAATACATAAATTAGTGATAGATATAGAGGAAAACAGTGGGAGAATATTCTTGACAGCCTTCTGTCATGACATGAAGAGTTGTCAGCTCTTGAACTGCTACATGATGCTATAGATTGTGAGAGGCATTATCTCCCACACCAGTCGGCAAAACATTTGATTCAGATATTAAAGAAAAAAAAAGCTTCAAGAGGCAAATATGCTGTATTAAACATCAGACAGTACTTTCTCTAAATGTAAAACAAATACGAATTTAAAAACTGTATTTAAAAAAAAATGAATTGTTTCATAAAGAAAGATGTATTTAGACTGAAAAAAAAAAAAAAGGCAGGGACATCCAAGAAAAACCTATGATAATGCAATGATGATAAAGATAAAAGGTAAAGGTAAAGATAAAGTTCGGAGATGTAAACGAGCGTCATTGCACACGATTATAAACCGTAAGTGCTCTGCCACCAGTACGGACAGCTGATAAGAAACTGTCTGCTCGTGTCGCCGTCCGCATGCAACTCCGTAGCTACAGCAAAGTTCCTCCATTTACCACAGAGTGTTAACTCTGCTACCCATTACCTAGAGGCTAAGTGAACAGTGACAGGCCAAAAAGGCCACAGGAAAGTTAATAGTTTTAGACGGTAATGCAAAGAAACCTGGCCAGCTTTCAGTTAATAAAAGACCTTGCTTAGTCTTGCTTAGTCCATTTGGCTTCCAGACCGACCCAGCTGTTGCGGCTCTGCACATTGGGCTAGACAGTGTGGGTACGGGCTACTGCAGGGGAAAGCCGGTTGCTTGGCTGGTTTAACAGTACGTTTTATTTGCTTAGTTGATTTCCATTTTGCATCCTTGCTAGGAGACAGTTTGATGGCAGGTCGCTATAGCTGATTTGATGGTCTGGTGGCGTATTGAAGCTTAATATACTTGTTAAAATGTTTCGGTTTTTGCCATTGTTGAGGTAATCTCGCTGAGCGCATGGTGTCATTATCATATTTCTTTTTTAGCTGGAGATGATTAGCACTTAAGATTCTGCCTCTGGTCGAGCACGTTGGTTGTTGTTAATTTTGTTATTTTTGTACCAGGCAGATTTTATGTTAAGTGAAATAAACAGATGTTCAGTATGGTAATCATAGTTCCAGTTGTTTTTGGTTCAGATTAGGACTTGTGGTTAGTCTGCCTAGTTCATTTGCTGCTTGGCTGATCTAGACAGTACATAGAAGATATCATGTCTGGGCTAGAATATTGCTGTTTCTAGTCTCCGCCTAATGAACTCTTTTTCTTCATTCTTTCTTGGTACTCTGGGCTTTGTGTACAGAGTCCAGAAAACTGCCTGGTTTCGAACACAGCCATGTTCTGCAGCGAGTCGCAGCTGGATTTGAAAACGAGTCTCCTATCGACTGCGCTAACATGGCCTCCCATTTTAAAAAAAATCGGTAAAAGGTGACAGACTGTATACCGTTACTGATATCAAAATTATTTAACAGAACAGAATGGAATGAATAAATCAAACAGCAAGGAATGTTTGTTTGTTTAAGTATCCAGAAGCCATGAGTTGTTAACCCTTAGGCTCGGTATTATGGATATCGCAACCTTTCGGCCTTGATTCCATTGTAAATACCGTAAATCTGGGAGAAAATGCAGCTTTCCTGCCTACCCCCGGGATTGAACCCAGACCACAAGGAGTTTATCACCTGGTATCCGCGCAATCCGGTTTAGCCAATTACGCTAGAGAGCCGGGCCAAGGAATGTTTAAATGATACAACAAGCTAATGATAAAATAACAGACCCTTTTCTCATGCATCTGGCACATCTGGCACATAGTGCTAGACCTACCTGGTATGTTTAAACAAATAAAATAAAACTACTAGCACTCAACAGATGATCTGTTAAACATGACACCGACTGCCTTTAGTTCCCAAAATCTTATCAAATATTCATTTTTGACTAACTCATGTGGAGCACAATCAATGCAAGCCTCAAAGCAGGTTTGAACCCTAGACCTTTGAGTGCCAGTAGACAAGAGTCTAGCCGCTACACCAATACAGCTTAAATAACAAGATGATGAAGGTATATTTCAAATCGTTCTTAAATGCAAAGGCGCTTCAAATGAAAACTGTAAAAATGTGTCTTTTAACATGTCAATATTGTTGTTAAGGATGTCAGGAGTGTTAATATGCACGTGACATTATGGTGCAGATGAACTTGGTGACATCTTATTGACAGTTTAATGATAGCTATTCTTCTTTCGACAGGCACCAAAGAGGCGCAGTGTTATGTTACCCAATTTATGTTTGTGTATCAGTGACGGGGTAAAACCTAAACAAATTCATTGAATATGAAGGTCCAGTTTGGTGATGTGTGTTCGAGTGAAGTAGGAAGTTTCAATATGATAAAAAGTTTTTCTTCTTCGATCCTTCTGTCAGAAAAATTGTGTGAGGAGGCCGGTAGCCTTTATGAAAGCTATAGTGCAATCCATATCCTCTCATGTACCATACAGTTTTGTCTTCATTGTGGTTGGAACAGGCCAGATTGAGTCTCTGTTTTCATCATACGATTGACAGTGTTGGAGCACATGCTCAGCATTTTCGAATGCCACGCTTCAGGGTCAGATTTACCACACTTAAAAGTTTCAACATATGTTGTCAATGTCTGTTGTGCCCAGTCCTTAGTCTGAATATAATAAATTGTCCCTCTCTAGAGAGGCAATGAAGCGAGTCTTGAGGAGAAAATCTGGTGTGGGTATCCAGCCACCTTTCTTGGATACTAGATTGTATTAATTTTTTTGTCTCTTGGTGGGTTAGGTCGCTATTTGGTTGTACCATGTAACGCCAGCTTTAGGCCAGTCTGTGCGCTATTTCATTGCCTTCCAAGCCACAGTGACCTGGTACCCATTGCAGTACAGATTGTTCTACTGAAAAGCCTAAGTGAATCAGCTGTTGCGTCAAGTCTACAAATGAGTGTCTTTTGGATTAACAGTTGCTTCACAGCATCAGTCTGAAAGACCACTCTGCGGTATTTGCTGTGCTGTTGTATATTCAAGAAAGAACATGCCACTAGAAGTGCATCTGCCTCTGCTCCGTAATTCAAGGAATAATAACCTGTTGGTACAGCTTGGTTAATTTTTAAACCATTTGGGCATTCTATGTATATTTCTCCTCCGTCACTTACTGCTCTCTTGGCTGAACCATCTTTATATACTATAATCCAACTCAGATGTAGTTAAAGTATGTTGATCTCTCCTTCATTCATTGAAGTGAAACACTTTTCAAGTCTGCAGTAAGCTGCCATAGCACCCACCTTGCGGCTCTGTAGCACACTAAGGATGATGAGGTGTGCTGAGCCTTGACTGATGCCAAGATGTGCAGCAATCTTCCTCAAAGCCAACTGGCAGTTTTCATTTAAGAGGCCTATAGTGGCTTCAGTTGACTCTGTAATCAATATTCTGAGTGCCTGACCTGGTCATGAACAGTCTGTCACAGAAGTCACGCCATATTGAAACTTCCTACTCCACTTCTGCACTTGCTGGACTGACAGACATGCATCACCATATTCGACCCTCAATTTGAAATTTTTGTCTCCTGCTGAATATGGGGATGGAGCACTTATGGGGGTGTCCTGACTGCTATGATGCTGATTTTTCATTCAACATTTGACCCTCATTTACCTTGGGTTCAACCCTTTCACTTTTAAAAAAAAATAGATAACAGAATGCTATTTTTATTTTGTGCATGTAAAAAATGTGATAGCTATCTTTAAACTGTCATTATGAATTACTGTGCTCGTCTGCAAGGTGATGTCATGTGCTTAACACTCTTGCCATCCTTAACTACAACACTGACAGGTTACAAGACGATTGCATGTTTAACGTTTTCACTTGAATTCCGTCATATATTTAGGATAACTGCTTAGCATTCACAGCCACAGATAAGGGGAAGAGGGGCTGATATACTTTATTTTAATCAGTTTCTATCCCTGCTGCCTTTTCTTTTCCTCATATTTTCTGGTAGCCATTTAGGATAAATTGTTATCATCCTCCATCCATATTCTCTTGTCATACAATAGGTTTTAATGGGTCCCATCTGACCGTTTCTTTTTTTTTCCTACAAATTTATTTATGTTACTCTAGTTTACAAAAAACATTTAACTTTACAGGTAGCAAAAGCATACATGCGCTCAAATCACAAATACATAAGCACGGAATACACAACACAGACTAATTTATAATATAATATAATTTAACTATTCTTCCTAACTAATGTACATCTTCAATAATATATACACAAACACTAACAAAATTAATCACAAAATGTGCTATGGTAAATATAATAATAAAAGCAGAGTGGCATGGAGAATATAACAGTAAACATTACTAAAATTTATATAAAAAATTAGAGGGAAAACTGGCCAATCAAACATAATTTATTCACCTACCAGCAAACTTTACATGGAATTTATTTTCTGGTCGGAAAAGCTGAATGTAGAGTGGGCACCTGGGAGCGAAATCCCGAACTGCCCATGCTCGCATAACAGTGTGCTGGTCCTAAATTTGCATGTAGTTAGAAACATAATTAGTAAGCAGGTGCACCATGGTGACTATCTTGAATAATTAGTCTTCTTTCTCCAGTTAAGTTACTAAGCTAATCCATCTGGTATTAAATAAGTTTCAGCTCTAGGCAAAGCTTAAAGTTAAAGTTAACTTTAGGCAACACTTGATTCAGAAGTTGGTTCTGAACCCGTGTATGTCCTTGATCAGGATTATGTTAACTGCTTCAGAAAAAGATATTTATTTATGACACTGAAGTGGCATCTTCCTGAGATGGGTAGAGAGTTAGACACAGAGGTTGTTGTTGTTTGTGTTCACCGGCTGTA